TATTATTATTATTATTATTATTATTATTATTATTATTATTATTATATCTGTTAGTTAAGAAGCTTGTTTAGAATATTCCTGGAAAGGAAAAAGAAGCGGTCAAATTTGCTGGAGAAAACTTCGTTCGTTATACAGGTGAAGTAGTGCAGGCTAATGAAGCACAAGTATTTGCATGGCAAGCGCGTTGTAAGGGTATGGTATTTTTGACTTAACATTTGTATAATAGAGAAGGTTAGCAGCATTTACTAATGAGATTGTAAATGCTGAGAAATCAAGACATTTTTCTACAAATTTTTATTAAATATGCTTGTAAAATAATCATAAATTGAAATAAGACATTAAATCCACATGTCATAACATAGATTCTATCAAAGCAAATACAAATTTTTTTATTATTTATATGAGGGAAGTAATCAAAGATAGGATAGTAATAAAAATGTCAATATTTTCTGTTAAATTTTATCGCAAGAACTTGTTTATGATTTGCTGTTAAGGAACTTTCCTATCTTGGTGACTATTGAGTTCGCATGTGTATGTATCATACTGTCATTTTTAAATATAGGAATTGATGTGCATGCATTGGCGGAGCCAACCAAATTGGAAGCCATGAAAAAAGAGTATGAGCAACAGAAAGTAGGCGCTAAAGATGAGCAGAAAAGCAAGTTATTGGAAAAATATGGTGGAGAAGTAAGATTTGATAGTTTGTAAACACTGTTCTACCTTCTGAACTTCAAGGATTTGATTGTTAAAGCTGTTGATGTTCTATTTCATTTCTCTGCTTATAAATATTGTCAGAAAATGAAATTACAAAGATATGAAATCTATTCAAGTATCGAAATTCCTACAGGAGCATTTGTGTGCACCTCCGAAAGAATTGTTATTGGCACAAACAGAAAATTATGTGGAATATAACAGGAAAGGAAAAGTGATAAAAGGGGAAGAACGTTCAGTGATACGAAGTCGTTATGAAGAAGACAAGTACAAAAATTTTTACGAAATTTCCTATTTTTTTTAAATTTATTTGTTCATTTATTGTATTCAGACAGTTAATTCTTAAAGCGTAGACTGCAATTTTAAAAAAACACATACATTTCATTATTTGATCCGTTTTATCGATTAAACTTGTTATTATGGAGAAAAACTTTAGATGAATTAAATTGTTTGTATTATCTTCTGTTCAGGTACATTAATAATCATACTACCGTTTGGGGTTCGTATTGGGATTCAGGCCAGTGGGGTTATGCTTGTTGCCACTCTTTTTTGAGAAATTCATACTGTATAGGAGAAGCTGGTAAAGCTAAAAAATCAGTCATAACGGAAATTGATACTGTACCACGGAGTACAAGCACAGATTTATGCGTTAAGCAGGATAACAATGGTATTGTTTGATACTTGTTAATTTTGAATTTTCATTGGATTTTTATGATATTTTGTTGTCATTTATGACTATTTATAGAAATCAAAACGGAAGATGATTTAAAAGAAAGTAATTCATCTTCTGATGACGAGTCTTCTTTATCTTCATCTGATTCTGAAGTAGATCCCGATATACAACTACAAATGGAAAGAGAACGACAGTGTGAATTACAAAGAGGTATCTTACGCATGTTTAGTTTCTTAGTTGATTTTTTCTCCCTTAATCAATATGTCCATTTATTTCATTAATTCAAACTTTAATATTTGTAGTTGAACGCGATGAAAGGAGACGTAAGAAAAGGAAGGAAAAAAGAAAGCGACAAAAAGAACGTAGGGATAAAAAGAAAAACTTATTGAATTCTAGTAAAAATGGAAATAATGATGATATATCAGATAATGTTGAAGACGAACCAAAAAAGGAACTGGAGAAAGCAATCAAAAAAGTCAACAAAGATTGGGAAGATGCAGAAGAGAGTATACAGCTGGTGTGTCATTTCATTTGTTGTAAAATAACTGACATTATGGAATTTTTGTTTCTTGAAAAAGATTGGTCTCAATGTTAGTTTAGAATGCTACTGCATAGGGGTTGGTTGTACTGGAAAAGTACTACTGTTTAATTTAACGAGCATTTCTTTTGGCAAGACACAGTGAAAATATGAAAATTCAGGGTGATAGGAAACGGCGCTATAATTCGAGTTATTCCATAAATGCTCCTACAGAAGCTGAAATGGAGGCTTATAAATTGACGGCAATCCATGCAAATGATCCAATGGCTGCTTTCATGCTCGAAAAACGGCAGAAGAAGCATGTAAAAAAAGACTGAGATGTTTTTAGTATTGTTTATAATGTGAAAAATGTCTAATATTCTTTTTTTTGTACAAACTACATTATTCAAACTCACAAAGGATGCCATGACTATTCTAATGTTTGAAAAAATGGTCCAGTTGAATCTGTTTCTTGTGAATAATATTTTAATTCACGCAGACTCTCTTTTGTACCTAGTTATACAATAAATTATGTTCTCCTCGAAATTCTTTGAAAACAGCTGTTAAGCATTGAAATATTTGTTGAAGGAGTTTGTAGTATTGGTGCACTAAGTTCTAATATCGTGGATGAAGTAATGAGTACCAGGAATGATCCCTGAACTTGAGTACTGGATTTGTGTAGTTGATGATTGTAATACTGTAGAAAATATTGCAGATTAAATGATAGTGTCGATGGCTTACACATATTTCTGAATGAGTTGCAAAGATGGTTGATGGTGAGTATATATGATTATCGTAGGCGGCTTTCACGTTTGCAGGATCCTTTGTTTAATTATTGTAAATTCAATCACTCGGGACGGGTTTTTTAATTGCTGCTTTTGTTTAGATTAGATTTAGTCATGCTTTAGTTGAAACGCAGCTGTTGATATGGGATCGCGAAATTACATCGTTGATGACACTTCGTGCAGCCTTGGATTCTCGCAGTGACTTGCGGTACCTTTTTTTGTGGTTGGAGTGGATGGTGCATGGTATTGTCTGGTTGATTTTTAGGTAATATACTCTTCTTTCTTTGGATAGAATATTCACACAAAACTTTGGAGTCAGAGGTAAACTATGCCTCCTAAATTATTGGTAGTGAGATCTTAAAGTTTTGAATAAATTAAATATAATATTTACTACACAGAATTTTGTAAAATACCTATGTAAGTTGTATTTTTTTGTTCTGTTTGGAAGAACAGAACACATTTAGTATCTTATTCTAGTACATCACATCTTGACAGCACTTAACATAGTTTAGAACTTTTATTTCATACAATATTCATCTCTGCAAAATCTTTCAGCTCATTAGGATTACTGGTATCTATGAAGTTGGATTTTTCATCAAATACAATATATAATTTCGTTGTTTTATTTGTTGGTAAGACTTTAAATTTTTTTAAAAACTTTTAATGACCAACATTTTGCTTATTTCATATGTATTCATGAAATGAATTGGAAGCGACTGTCTAATAGCATATGAGTTAAGAGATTTAAGGACTGATTATTGACTTGGTCGCTGTTGGAGTTATTAAAGGAATCGTTCGACGACCTCGACCACCTTGTAATGTTCATGACCTAGTACGCAAGTGGCTTTGATTTTGTTCAGCAGTGTTGATTCCAAGAAATCGTGCGATTGCACATTTACTCATAATTTCAAATCAAAAATAATTTTAGTATTTTGGTGCACCTGTAGTTGACGTATTCTCGTTTCCTTCTGGTCATTCCTCCCGGAGTGCAATGTTATCAGTACTTTGGTACAAATTTCTGAGTTATCATCTGTTTATTTATGTTATTTTTTTTATATTTTGAAAGCATAGGTTAAAAATTCAGAAAAATCCCGGATAAAAAAGATTACTCTCGATTACAGCATGGATCTCTGCCCTCCTCCACATTACATCAGTTTTTTTGTAAAACTGTTTCCATTTGTATTAGGAGCTTCGCGCATTGTCATTGGTCGCCATTACTTCAGTGATGTTGCAGCAGGTTCATTTTTTATTTTGATTTTTCGGCCAGGACGTAGTGACGATTTTGGAAAAATTTTCATTTAAAATCATTATAGTGGAATTTTTCTAAATCCAGACTCTTATAAAATATGGTTGTAATTCTTCATTACAGGTCTCCTTCTTGGTTATTTTGAAGGAAACCTCGTGCAGTGCTTACCATTTTCCTCAGTAAATCTCTTGAAAGAGATATTCCTACCTATATTTGGTAACGATTAACTAAAGCTATACTAACTAGACGTAAGTATGTACGTATCTTTATATTTTTGATTTTTCTCGTTAAGCATTTTGTTTACATGTTGCACTTGCATGCCTTGAAGTAAAAATTCTTTACACTCTACCTTGTATTTGCTTTCATTTGGAGCTATTTTTTAATATAACTGAAAAAGTTGAATATTTATTTATTCTTTTCTCCTCGAGTTATGAATCCCAAGGTAAATATAAAATATGAAGGATAATTACAAAGAAGCTATTCTTCATAACTCGAAAACCATTCGAAGATTTTGCTGAATCGTTTCTGTTGAACAATAGACTGTTGGAACTGTTTTCAAAATCCGAGTTGTTGCAGTATTTCCTTAGAATCATTTCATAACATCGGTACACGATTTCAAAATGCATAACTAACGTAGTACATTCATTACACCATTCCTTTGAATTATCAGAAGAATGTGGGCTTCTGAAATTTCAATCATAAATCAGCTAAGATATTTGACTCCACTTTTATCTACTCTGGTTATTTTGAACTCGACTGTGCTCACCTTACAACTATTTTTGTCGTATGACAAAGTTATAAGAGTATGCTGAGATTTACAAAAACAAATACTTTAAGAAAAAATTTATAAAGTGCCTCACTGACTTACAGTATCACTGATATTCCTTGTTTTAGATTATTCCAATTTCTATCGCACATTGTATCATCATCGTTTGGTATGTTTACAGTAGAATGTAGCAATGAGACCGAAACTGTTAAATTTCTGGGATCGCACTTAGAGGACCAGTTGACTAAATAACTTGAGAATCTTAATAAAAATTGCGTATTCATATGAGCTTGAAAATTGCACTTTTCAATTCTTCAGTTCTGCTAGAATTTGTAAGGAACTTAATGGAATTTATATTTTTTTTGTTCCTTAAAAACTTTAAATTTGGACTGCAAGTTGTCTAATCTAGTATTTAATCATATATGTACTGCAAAAGCAAGACTGCCATTATTAGTAAGAGAAAGTTTTTGGGTTTAGTGATGAATTTTCGATAGTTTTCTAAAATGAATACAGTAAGGTCTAACCTTTGTAATATTGCGAACATATAGTAGCAAATTTTTTTGCCGTGAGGTTAAGCTGTTTTGTTGTCATCTCTTCATGTAAACATTGTTTGTAGCCATGAATGCAAGTACTGAATTTTTTAAGGCTACTGAAAGAACACAGTGAGTATTTGTGCTGCATCTCGCATAACATCTGATCTAGATTTTCACAATATTCTATTCTACAAAATTAACTGTCCATTTCTTGAAATTCAGTCATAATAAAAACATACCTGCAAAGTGAACTGATGTAATTGCGAGTAAGTGCTACCAAGTACCCCCACATTGATCCGCGTGTTTCTTGTTCTAATGGTGGTGATAATAAGTCTTCATAAAAATCATCAATACATTTCCAGATTTCTTTTTCTTCTGACTCACATTTTCCTGATCGCACAAACAACTAAACTACTGATTGCATCTCAATTTCAAAAACTTTAGTTAAAATTTTCAAATTCTACGAGCTATGCCGATTGATATTGTAAAACTATCTGAAAGTTAAAAGTTAGGTACTTAAGATCTCATACGTTGTTTTGCTTTATGTAAAGAAACATATACCGTTCCAGGTCCAGAAATTTCAGCTCCAAAAACTTGTGTCATATCGCTCGACTTTTGTAGACTGGAGGCAACAGGAAAGAATAGTATATAGAAAGCAAAGTATGACATTGTAGCTTCTTTTTGTAGGATTTTGCGAGCAATTTTCCTAAGCTATCTTGTAAACATAGAATTGCATGGATTATTACTATAAGCTCCAATGCAAGCAATTTATATTATGCGGTATAGACGACTAAGTTATTTGCTGAAAACTACTAACTTCCGTTCTATGTTGTACCATCTTAAAAGTGCACATTAATTTCAATGCTTAAAAGCGTGTGGTGCCATTTTTCGTAAGCAACAAAAGAAAAATTGTTAGCTTCGGGATACGACACTTTTTAAAAAAAACTGCCAAGTTGCTGTTACTGTTAATTTCAATTTAAAAATCATTATGGGGTGATGAACGCTTTAAATGTGACAAATTTGCAACGTTTAAATTCAAAGACGCAATGTGTGATGCTACTTTTTCAGAATTTTGTTGTTTTTGGGAATTGCAAAGGGCAAATAATTTTGACATACATACACGCTGTCCGATTTTTATCAGCTTGAAACAATGTTTTTGGGCAGTCATGTTCGAAATTCATAAGTATACAGACACATTTTTTCTAAATGCGACATATTTATCTACTTCGACTTATTTACAGCAAAAAACCAAGAACCACAACAAAAAAATTTTGAAAGCAAACGAAAACTAGTAACCGATTAAAACCAAAGAATGAGCATATATGCTGCCTTACAAGTGTTTGGTGAATTTTACATATTATCAACGAGACTGTCACCTGAATCCTTAAAATACTTTAAAAATGTTTAAAATAAAATGCACTTCAAAAATCCTATGTAATTAAATGGTTTATTTACTGAGTCAACATATGTGCGAATTCTGTTTTTGGGAAAATAAGACAGTGATCATTGAATGAAGAAATTAGCTATTTGTGAAAATTCATTTTCTACGCTAAAATATTATCCCAACCATCTGGAACAGAATAACTTTTCACGCGACTAAAAAATAGTGGTGGGTACGTCTGATGATCAGAAGTATCTAAAGAATTTGTAGACTTTTCACCATTAGAATATGTTACCGTACAGGTGTATTCATTTAGATGCAAAACGCAATGAGCCTGCCGCTTCTTTCCATCACCAAAATGTAATTTCATGTCAAATTTTTGGTCTATCACCTGTAAAGAGAAACATGTAACACTGAAGATGTTCAGGTAAATAATCAAAACAGTGTTAAATCTTACTCCATAAGGCAGAAGCTGGTGACGTGATTTATGAGTTCGTCGCTTTCGCTGAACTGTTTGCTCACATCGGCGATAGAACTAAATTTCACATTAAAAACAAAAAATATGATAGTAGGAGTTGGTTGCAAATTTGCTTAATTTCTTTGCTTTCTTGGAAATGCTACCTCTGCTTTTATACAATCTTGATCTAAAATCCAGTAACGGCCAATGAGAATACCAGCTGCACTAGGTGTTTTTGATTTCAAGAGTCCAACAACTTGTGAGGGTGCATCAGCTGTAGTAATCATAAGAGCTGTACCTAAATACAAAGCAGTTTCTTTTCATAATGACATATTCGTGAGAACTTCTAAACCAAATCTTTAAATGAACTTGATTTAAACTGTACAAACAAACCGTCAGCAAAAAATCTCAAAATTCGATAATAAACCACAATGTGCCAAGGCTTGTAGAACTTGTCCTGAAAAGATTATGTAATGACTGTATTTGCGATGATTACCCTATCGTTTCAATAATATTCAAGTAACAAATCAATCAAATATGTTATACGTTTTTAAATAAACGAAAACCAAATACGATTATCATTTTATTTTGGAAAATGTTTCGGAGAATTGAAAAAATATGAACACCTGAAAAGATGGTTCGCCATTCCGAAGATAACTTATTTTACCAATATAAATTCCATGTAAATACACATGCGGCAATGTTATGTACATCTGACGCCAGCTAACAAATTTATCGAATGAAACTGAATTAGCATATTTGTCTCGAAAAGTCGAACGACAAATTGCAAGCCACAAATTTTCATCACTAAACAAGAACCCTTTACATGGAAAGATTTTTAAACACGATGATATTAGGGTGACAAATAAATAAATATTGGGAAGATAATTAATTCGGTATATTTCGAACAAACCGGTGCTGATACTGTCACGACAATACATCAGCACAGAATGGTTTGATTCAAAAATAATCAGCAATAAAAGCTCAACAAACATACCGTGCAAAAATATAGAAACCAGATGAAGTCATTGATAACAATTCAAGGTTGTACACATCAAGCTCACTCCCCACAATATATCGCATCAGTATACACATCAGTTCAGCAGACATGAGTGCGATTGGACATGGCTCATCTGTATCATTAATGGTCATTGACTTGCAATTAACGTGCAGGAATTTATTGTTTTTATTGTAAAACCATCTCTCAAATTAATCCTAAGATTTTATATAATTCTTGCAAATGTGAAAATTTTCCATATCTGCTTGTAAATTCACTTCTATACTCAGGAAATCTCAAAGTGATAACAGATGAGACAGATGAAACTCGATCTAGAGTTTCTTGTGAAAAAGAAGTAATCGAAATTCTTGCCATCAGCTTTAAAAATTAAGTAATGATCTAATTCATTCTTTTATATCTTTAGTGAGACAAAAAAAAACTAAGCCAAACATTTTGGCAAGTCACAAACCCAAAAATTCAGGCTCGAACAATTTTCCCCTAATAGAAATTCTGTAACGCAAAATTTCTCGTAAATCACTGTTTTTTCCGAGGTTACAATGATGACTCATAGAAGATCGATCGCAATCTTCTGATTCCGTACAGTCCTGAAATATTATTTACTAGATTAAACATAAGATTTATGGTTAATTTAATTCGAATAAGTACTTGTTCTAATCACAAAGGAACAAACTTTCAGGATATAAAACAATAAACGTCGACTTACCTTAGTACAAGACAAATTTTGCAAGGATGACAAGCTATGGTGCCCATACAATTTTGATTCGATATCAGGCACCATGTATCTTTGTACAGTTTCACACATATCTCCTCGCCTTTCACAATCAAACGATAGTTTCATTGCCTAGAATAAAATTCCTTTAAATATTTGCAGTCTGAACTCGTAAATGACTAAAACCTGTTCCACAAATCGAAATTTATCAACAAAGCCACAACACTAATGAGAAAAAAAATTGTATCTGAAAAACAATATAAACATCTATTCATGCAAAAAACTACAAGCAGCTGAAAGCTAAAATAATTTAAATAAAAACTTGTGACACATATTAAACACATAATTTAAACAGATATAATTACGGAGTCGTGCAGCTTCTCTTCATGAGTGCTTCCAACTTCAATTAACATGGAAGATGATTTTTTAACATGAGGATCCAATTCTGATTTCCATTCCTTCCTAAAAATCTTGTAAATACGAAGGACTCAACAAATTACGCCTTTTCACAAGTGTTATCTTGTTATTACACAAAAAAATTTGGCAAGAATAACAAATGCTTAAAGTATAAGCAATATAAATATCTACCTGAAATCATCGAGCGTCACTTCTGCAATATCATTTTGCGAATCCACAGCCTTAACGACATGGGTTACAAAATTAAACTCAATTTCAGTTTCATCGTTATCATCAGCGAATAAGGGAGACATATTCCACTATAATTATCAGTCATTACTGATTACTAACTTCTTTTTTTTTAAAGTTTAAAAAAATTCAGAGAGTTGTGTTCCAAGTTCAAATCAGAAAAATACAAGCACTATCACGATGTAAATAAAAAGTATCACTTGAAAAATAAGAATAAAAATTTTGATACCTTTTATCTGAAATTTTTACCAATTTTTTCTACTGCTGCTGTGAAAAGCAAGAAAGCAGTACACAAACAAAAATGATAACCTCTAAGTCAGAATTGTCCTCATCCTCATCCTCATCTTCATCCTCATCATCTTCGATTTCTAAACTTTCTAGTCCTTGTTCCATTGACATGAGAACAATCTAAAATTAAAACGTTCTATAAATTTAAAATTCCAAATGGCATTTTCAAATTTTTTCACATTCATCATGAGAATAAAAATTTATTCAAAGTTGAAACAAAACAAATGTTGATAGTAAAAATAACATTCAGACTACTGAATCTGAACAACGATGTTTTGAAGTTGTGCTGATAATATAAAATATTTTACAACGTAATTTTATATTCAAATAAAAATAAAATATTTTATTTTAAATATTAATCAGGTACTGAGCCTATTAGTATGGCTTATTAAACTACAGAATAACGCAAAATTTAGAATGGATGCAAATTTCGTGGCGATTCCACTAAAATTATTCAACGTATTGCTGACACGTCATGAGACAGCAGCTAAAAGGTACATTTTATGCTTGCAATGTACCACATTATACTTATAATTATGGGCGTGGGTTATAGTACATATTTATTTATTGCAATAGATAATTGCTACCTAATAAATTAAGCAATATGAGTCATTCTTGAATCAATCATGATTCTTTGAATCTAATTATTGAAGAATATGATTACTGTATCATTCAATGATAGTATGAATTTTGACCACATAAACTTTTTGATAGTAAAAGAGTACTGCGAACTTTCGTTACATCATTTAAGTTTCACTACAGCACATGACTACATAGTTCGAGAATCGGGTTACTGTACGCACATTATGACTACTACATACTGTACACAATTCCAGTGCTGAGCAAGAAGTTATGAAAGGTATGCAATAGCTTATTGTGTAACCTTGATTGGATCGCTGTGCCATACATTAACATTAGAAATTCTCTTCAATATCACTAACAATTGTGTTCATTACCACCAGAAATTCCGTTCAATTTTTATAACAAACTAATTTTGTTAATTAATTTAACACCACTTTTTAATTTAATATCCCTTGGAAAATCAAGCAATAGCTTGTATATTTTATAACGCATATTATTTATATTGCAAGACTCGCAGGTTTGTTATCTACGTCAAATTTATATTATTGCAAAGATTTGAACAAACGTAGAATTTATATTATTGCGTAAAATTTGAACAAACTTTTTGTTTTCCTTGCAGGTTTATTTCCTACGTCAAATTTATATTATTGCAAAGATTTGAAAACGTAGGAAGTTTTTTAATTTAATATTATTTATAAAATCAAGTAATAGCTTGCATATTTTATGACGCATATTTACATTGCAAAAATTTGAACAAACAGTTATATATATAACTTAGTGTCTATATTAATATTTATTATTTATTTTTTTATGAATTTGAACTGTCTCAAAAATTTGAATTGTATAAAATGAATCTAAACTGTTTCAAAAATTAGAATTGTATAAAAAAGTACAGTAAAACTGTAGTGGAAAAAAAGAGCTTTAATCATTTTTGCTCATACGTACAGCAGTTTACTCACTTATTTGTTTGTTATCATTAAAAGCAGTCAAAAAAGAAAAAATTCACTATCAATATCAGTGCTTTCAGTAATATCTTAAATATCATTTTTATTACTATATTTTTATTCTTAGCGAATTGCTATCGTTGTGATGTGTATAGTTAATAGCACTGTATCAGTTGCTAAGTAATTTATCATAATATTTATGAATATTTGTAGCTTAATAAGCTGACCTTTCCATTTTATCTTTTCAGGTTTTAGCCTATGCTTACATTGTTGAAACTTAATCTTTTGACCTTTCTCAATGCAAATATTATGCTAATTCTCTTGCTTACGACTAGTTACTACTCAAAGCGTCAGTTTTCAGGGAAAATCATATAACTTTACAAGTAATTAATATTCATTTTAATCAATAATTTCTTGTTTTAAACATTTTGACAAATATAATTCAATGTAAGTGAAGGAAGGATATATGGCACGTGTGTTTATCCTTTCATATGTATGTTTATGTTTAATGGTAAGGTATGAGAGCATTCATATACATTTATTAGCATTACCAATTCCTTAAGGCCATTAGAAATGTGAATTATTGAAGTTGATGAGCAAATATCCTCGAAAAATAGTTTCAATAATAATAATAATTATAATTATAATTATAATAATTATTATTATATGCACGAACAAATATATATTGTATACATTGAAAAGATACATAATAAATTAATGTAATCAAATTTTGTTCCATTTTTATAGCGAAGAAAGTAGAGCTGCAATTTTCTGTTATTAAATATGAGCACATTCTCACAGCCAACAACATATCTGATGACTAAAAGCATACGTGGAGATTAAAATATTCGTAATATAATAATAAGTGTACAGTGGCGTATATGATGCGGTGATGTGCCAAGAGATCATTTGTTGAATAAAAATATATTAAAAAATAATAAACAAAAAAATAATTGTGCTAGTCTTTATAAATATTTATTTATTTGTTTTGGCGCTCGATTAAGATCAAATTTCAGGTCTAAACTTTGTTATCGAGGATGGAAATGCATGAGAACTAATTTCTTTTCTAAATATGATATATGCTTTATAATGATTAAATTGTGTTCAGTGGAGATGAAAGTACGTATTTTTATAGTATTACGCAAATAACAATAATGATAATAATATTCATGCTATTAAATAACTGATATCAACATTATCATCGGTATCACAGCAACACTGCAATGTTCTTGATTTTATTTGATACCTTTGATGAGTTTCTAAAATAAACATTTAGTATTAAAATTATTTTTCGAAGCCATCCAAGTAATAAATGGATATTTGCAAAAATGTGCAATATAGAATTTGTTTTCAAAAACAAAGTTCAAAAATTGCACTGTTATATTACTTTAAACAATTTTTAAAATATTTAAATATGTAATTGCGTCACTTTTTTTGCTAACATTAAAAATTATTAAAAAATTAATATTTATTATTTTTTCTGTTTAATTATATTTAAATGATTGAAATTGATCAGTCACGAATTAATCAGAGAATACAATTTCATTGCACTAATATTAGCATTTTGCGAGTACCGTAATGGCAAGTATTTTGAGTGATTATACTATAAGGAAAAAAATATTTAGTGAATAGTAAAAAAATTCAGTCATGTAGCTTAGCAGATATCAGTTAGGAAAGTAATTCAGATAACTTTTTCAAGACTTTAAAAGTCAGCAATAGGTCAGAGTCAGAGTACTTGATGATTCTTGTAAAAGTGTTAAGTGTAATGCATTACAGTATATTGGTCAAGTTTCTAGCTTACTTATTTTGTAAATAATAATATTATTATTGTTCTAATCATAATATCGTTCTTATCGTTCTAATCATAATATCATTGTTATCGTTCTAATCATGATATCGTTGTTGTTATCGTTGTAATCATAATATCGTTATTATCGTTCTGATCGGTAGTGCTGTTAATAATTTGTTGCTAAAAATTATAGCATGTAAAAGTTATGCAAAAAAGAAAAAGGGAAATTACTAATGGTGATTGAAATGCAGTAAAGAGTTGATTGAAGTTGGCTAGGAAATGTAATGAGCTGGAGTAGGCAGTAGTCGGCCTAGGCAAGACTTTTTCATGGCCAAGAAGGAAAATTGGCCTAGTGTGTGTACTTGCTATGACACAACACTATCCTCCGTGCTATTCATTATAGCTCTTAGCCTTCTACTGTAAAATATTTATTCTGTGCGAGAATATTTTGCTTACTTGTCTGCTGCCTCTGTTAGCATTGTCGATTGTCGAGTTAAGTTAGGCATTGAGTAACGAGAAAGGAGATGTGAGGATCGAAATTTCATGGAATATTTTTATAAGTTTAGCCTTGTCCATATATTTCTTCTTTTGCATCCTTATTCATTCATCTATTCATCTTTTAAGTCTAATTCTATTTTTGATTTTTTTTGCTATCCGCAGAAGTTGATAAAATGCTTAGCTTCTAGCATGCTGAGTGAAGAAGTTAAATCTTAAAAAACCTACCATTACGTAATCCGCTTATTGCTTATGTCATTGCTTCTTAACTAAGCAAAATATAGATCGACAGATAGAGATAATAAATTGATAGATTGAATGGTAGATTAGATCGGTAGATTAGATAGGTAGATATATACATAGATAGATAGATGGATAGATAGATAGATAATCAATTGCCTGATTTTATTGATTGAATGATTAACTGAATGATTAAACGATTTATGTGTAATGAATGAATATGTATGTATTACTCAACTGCTGCTCAGTAGTTTCCTCACTATGATTCTATCCATATCTTTGATGGACAAAGTACTGCTCAGTATTTCATCTTTTTTATTGTCATCAAAAATATTTTCTGTAATTATTAATACGTAAATGCATAAGCCTGAAAATTAATCTATTGACTTTTGCTATATAAACTCTACTTATTTGGCATTCATTTATTCATAGAACATGCAAAAGTGGCACTCATTACTGTGCATTGCTTGATGATAAAAATGAATCCATTTTTTGACGTGGAATTTTAGCGTGTTTACATGTTCGTATTTACGCATTTTTTTATACAAAAATGAGAGATTTTTTTTTGAACGTAAAAAGCAGATTTATTAGTCCCTGCCATATATAGTTTTTGCACATTTGCTCTACATAATTACTTTAATTAAACTGTAATGCAAATCAGTTGTAAGAGTACTATTCATTAACTACCAGTTCTCGACATATGACCCAGTGTTCAACAACTGCCGGCGTATAATACAGTAGCCATTAGATGGTAAAAAGCAATGTATTGTAAATTATTGCTTCTTTAATAGATTACTATAAGACGAAAGACAGCTGCTCGTAGTGAGTTTTTGAATAAAAAGTTTGAACAGAAAAATTTTCATTCAAATTATTCTGTTCTGCAAGTAAATTTTTTATATGTAATAAATTATTTAAGCTTTATCAATATGTAAATAAAAAGTAGTGAACATAAATTTTGATTATAAATAAATTAAGATTAATCAATATTATACAAAAGTAATTAAAAATTAAATAGACAATTTTTGTAATAATATTAAAATGGTAAAAATGTTAAAAGCAAAAAAGCTTTAAAGTTTATTACATAGAAACTAAAGTACTTCTATAATAATTATGTAAACAAATAAATAAAGTAATTAATTAATCAATTAATTAATTAAGTAAGTAATGGAATCGGTAGAATTATGATTACACGAAAAGGTAACAAAGCTAGATTTGTTTACTTTGATAAAACTTGTAATGTTTACTTTTGTAAGTTAGAAGCAAGCAGAAGTGCTTGTCTTGTTTGACTTGCCTTTGTGCTTGCATTTCATGAATTATTCCTTCCTATAAAGTAACGTAATGATCAGTTCCACTGATATGATATATACGTATTTATGTTTGGGCAGTAAATGACTGATTAGTTCGTTTCTCAAGCTGTCACTGTGTTTAATCTCAAGGCAGCGTTTATCTGTACTCTTACTCTTATAATTTGTATTGTAAAAATATCAGACTTAAGTTAGCAAGTAAATAATTTATTTTATAACCACTTTGTTAGGGCAAATATACGATATTAATTAATTTTATAAATTAAAATAAGGAATAGAAATGATATTATTGATAATAATAATTATTATATTATATGCTAGCTAATCATAATCTTTTACAGCTTATTCATATTATTCTGTTCTGCAAGCTTTTTAATATGTAATAAATTATCTAAGCTTTATCATTACATATTGAAAGCTGTAATAGTCAATAGTGCAGACATTTTAAATGAAAAATTGTATTTTGTGTTGAAAGTAATTACGTTTTAACATTTAATTACAAACTTTGTACAACAAAAATGATCAATTCATTTTAATAATGCAATAATCAATTAGAATGAAATACGTGAAGTATACTTGGAGAGCGTTTGATTACTCTTCTCGCTGATTTATGATTTATGGCAACATTTTGGTTAATTTATTGCTTCAGAGTTAGACTTATGAATGCTTCTTAGAGCACGGAACTATTCACTGTTTAGAATGCAAAGAGTGAATTCACACTAATCGCTATGGATACTTTTCAGTTGTAGACGCTCTTCTAAACTATTTTTTCAAATAATAATAGCATTTTAGTGAGCAAAAAAAGAAAAAGACATTTGCATTGACAAGGCAGACAAAATTTGCATAACAATAATAATGAAAATAAAGCATTCACGTTTTTGATATCGAAAGCTACGAGTAAAGACTATAAAAAATGAACAAATATATCATCTAATACATTATGCAAACAAGCCAAACAAGCCATTCATTCTCCAGTCCAGTTTTTAGCCCATAACTTACTTTTTCAGCCATTCATGCAATTATTCATCAATACTGCATGCGTGTATTTAAACGCGTGCTTACGTTTTCACATTACATCAATGCGTGCGTGATAACGTGTGATTATAGATGGTAAGAATAGAGTGTGTTCATTATGCATATACTTGATGAGATAAGCAAACAAATTATAAGAAAACATACTTATTCATGCAATGCAATTGAAATAGACATTTGTACTTGTTTTCTCCCTATTTCAATGATTTCATTTTGCACTTTGCTAGTCACTCAATTGCCCGGTCATTAAGTCCTTTAATCATGCAGTCTGTCTGTCTCTCATAATTTTGTTATTGATTACACTCAGTAATGGTAACTCAGTCATTTCAACAGTTAGTTGTGCTATTGTATTTGTCAACTAACCATTCAGTCATTCATTCACTCAATCAGTCATTTAAGTCCCTCTATCATGCATTCTCTTTAACTATCTGCAAAACAGACCTATCTATTTCTATATAGCATTTTCTTTATCAAGTGTTTGCGAGAATACTTTACGAGCGTGTAAGCATATGCGTTTACTTACACGCACTTGTACACCAAAATTCATGCACAAGTACGTGTAAGCAAACACGTGCAAACACGTAATTACACATGTACGTGCATGGTCAAGTCCGGCTTATGCCGAATTGATGCGAAATTCAAGACTGGTAGTAATACGATGGAGGGACAGTGAATCAGTACGTAATGTATTAAGTCAAACTATAAGACTTTCGATCAAATTCAATTACCTCAGTTAACTGTTTTTGCAGAATTTGAGAGTAAAAAAGAGTAATTGTACAAGAAGAAGAAATAGTTACTTAAGAACTCGAAGAAAGTCGTAGAAAGAGTATTGGAAAAAGGAGAGGGAAAGCGCGACAGCGTAAGAAAGGAAAAAATAAGATAGCGAAAAAAAAGAGAGTAAAAAGAAAAGATAAAAAATAGAATGGATAGTTGCTTAGGAGGTCAGCTTTTATTCTGAGCTATGAAATTAGTAATGGCTGGCTAGAAGTTTCAGTTTAAACTAATTTGCATATAGAAGTCTCGTAGTCCAAATGACGAATAGATCTATGAATAATATGATTAGTGAATTAGTTTTTGTGAATCAACAATTTATTAAGCATATTTAGAATAATTCTTCGGTTATCTTTGTTTCTAAACTCATTAATAATGCAATATTACTTGTTAGTATGAAAGAAGCAGAGCATGGACATAAGCAGTAGGCCTTACGTGCTTTTGAAAGTTGAAGTTAGCAAGGCAGTTGCGCTCACGTTGTTTAATGTGGAATTTAAAAATATCTTTAAGACGAAATGATTTAAGAAAACATTTGAATCGGATGTCAAATGGATTTGAACGAAGCCTTGCACAGGGCATCAGAAGACGAAGCTGAAAATCAATATAATATGGAGGTGTACCCAGGGCGCGTTTTAAGGTCAGCTTAATTTTTTAATATTCATTCTAAAATTAAAACTGCAGTTTGTATTTCATGCATTGGTATTAAAATTTGAACTTTTCTGGGAAGAAGATTGAAGTGTTGATTTCAAGCAACAACTTGTAGTAATTGCGTTCTATTATTAAATTTATCTTTACAAACGAAGTTGCATTTATACACAAAACCATTTTATGATAATTATAATAATTTCACTTTAATTTTTCGACGTAGCGAGATATATCACTATAATTCTCAAAATCATTGCAAACAAAGTTGTTAAAGTCTCTAAATCAGCCATTATAATACTATAAGTTCAGTGAATTAAGCAGATTTCTCTGATTTTGGTAAGCAAGTTTACGTCAAAAAAGATGTTTATTTGCCTTGCCTTACCATCAAAATATAACATATGGTAGGTTTTTATCGCTGTAACAAGAAAAGATACTATTGGACAGGTTTATCAAAATACAGAACAAATGAATTGTTGCTTTTGTGTTCTCAATGTGCAACAGAAATTATTCTTTCGATGATTTTTTTCTTTTTGCCATTTAGCTGGCAAAAAGCTTTGTCTGATAAGAGGAAGTTTCAGCAAATATTTAGGAAATTTCTCTGCACCATACCAACTTTTTAATTTTAACTTTGCCTGTACATAGAATTGTATGTATTTATTTGTTTCAACTCAGTCTGATGTAAAATAAACAAACCTTTGCAGCACTTTGTTATTGCGGAAAGTCACTGTTATTCATTTAATTTACGTTCTATAAGTTAATTCATCTTGTATCCTTAAGAGGTGACGATACCCCGAGTAGTGCCAAGATTCGCTACATAGGAGGACGCAGAGAACCGAAAACATTCACTCGTTACACTTCCAGCCTTAAAAATATGGTACCATTAAGATCTCATAAGTAAGTTTTCTTATTTTCTAATTTATTTAGACTTGTCAGTTCTGTTCATTATAGTTCTCACATAATTTTTGAATTACAGTAGTATCGCAGATTTTGACATTGTAATTCTAATCTCTGTCATTTTTCGTTCGTTATGAGTGCATTTTGTACAATCTAAGTATTAAGTACATCGTAATTGTCTTCATATTCTTTTTCCTTATTAATAAAAAGTTTTCAAAAATTTTCAAAACTTATGGTATACTCATTATTCATACTTGTACATTTGATTATTTTGTGTTGGAAAAATACCTTGCAGGCGCAATCGTTCCAAGTCTAGTAAGATCGATGAGTCAGGTTTATTTTCATTTGTTACATATAGTTGGATATTTCCTTATCTGTGGTCCGCTTTCAAAGGTCGCACAAGCCAAAATGAAGTATGGGATTGCAGCATTTATGATGCATCTACTGTGAATTTGGCTAGGTTATTTTTGTTTTTCTGTTTCAATCTTAAAAATAGGAGCACTACATTTAATTTATTTTCTGGTAACGTCATTTGAACGGATTTAAAAAAATTTTTGTTTATAGGTTAGAATATCTTTGGATGCGTGAACTTCAACAACGTCCCAACAGCCCCTCGCTTTTACGTGTCATATACTTTTTTATCAGAACAAGAATTTATGTGGCATGTTTTATCTTCTCATGCTGTTTAATTTTCGCCTCAATTGGTCCAATGTTTCTTGTTAAGAAACTTATCTCATTGGTGGAGCGAATTTCTGATGATTTCTCTTTCGAATATGGCATTTTCCTGGCTTTTTCAATTTTAATTGTAAGATATCCATTACCTAAATTACTTTTAGCATTTAGTTCGCACGTATAGGTTAGATTGGGTTAAAATATCTTCAGAAAGTCTTTCTTCCATTTGTGTTGTAATTGATACTAAATTTATCTTTAAAGATGGAAGCAGCACGAGTGTTGTCATATGGAGCTACATGGGCTGTAAGTTACCGGACAGGTATAAGAGTTCGAGGAGCTTTATTGGCATTACTTTACAAAAAACTGATCAATGTCCGTTCACTAAGAGCAAAAACTGGAGCTGAGGTTTTTCTTTTTTCAGAACACTTTTTTGTTAATAATTTTTTGTTGTGTATAACTATTGTTTAGTATGCAAAAAGTATATAGACTACATTCATGATATGTTATCGTATTATTTTTCTGTTTTCATTTGATACAGATTTTGCAGATATTACTTTTTTCGATCACGTCTTGCCGTTTGCTAAATAATACTACATTTATACACCAAAAAATATTTTCTGATTTTATGTTTTGTTAGGTCGTGAATATGTTTGCAAATGATGGTCAGAGATTATTTGATGCTATTTCAATGGCACCAGTAGTACTTATCGGACCGCTAATACTAATTGGAGGAATTGTATATCTTCTGTATCTTATCGGACCTTGGTCTTTGCTGGGAGTATTCGTTTTTCTCCTCTTCGATATTATACAGGTGAGGTGATAAAAAATGTGAGATTTTTTGTTCATTTCTTTTGGAGGAATAATTCGTGGTTACTCCATAAAATAGTGACTAATACTTTACAATAGCTTGTTATTTTATTCAATTTTTAGTTTGCACTTGGTAAAGCAATGGTTCACATTCGATCTTCAGCGATTCAAAAAACTGAGAAACGAGTAAGAAGTTATTAAGAAGTACCTAGTTTAGAAATAGGAAAAAAATAATTAAAGTCTTCATAGACTTTTTGTTTTATATTTGTTCAGTTGAAGAATTTCAAGAAAAATCGTTGATCAAGAATTTTAATGCACGTTAATTACTTTTTATTTCTTGATATAATACAATTCGAGTTGATAAAAAAAGTAAACTGCTAAACCGCGGACGCGGAACCGCGGATGCGGTTTAGTAGCTTACTGCATGACCAGTTTATGTCATTCTTACTAAACTTTTTGGTCTTAAGATTTCTGTAAATTAGAATTATAAATGGGTTTTCTACAAAATGAAAACGCCACTTAAACTTAAGGTAGAATTTTAGATCAGTTTTATGGGAGAAGTAATTCGCTGTATACGTCTCATTAAAATGAATACTTGGGAAGAGTCATTTATGAATACAATTGAAGGTGATATTTTCCCGTTAAAAAATTTTGAAAAAAGGTTTCAGACGTTCCATAAATTTTAAAGGATTTATTAGACGAATTCCGCGGTACACCAATAACTTGAACTTGAATCTCGATGAAAGTATTGGCTTTGATTATGTTTTAATTTTTTCTCTCGGTAATTTTGAAAATTTTGTAGAATTGCGTCATAAGGAAAAATTAGATTTGCGCAAAGCAGGACTCGCTCAAAGTTTGGCAATCGCATGTGGATCTATAGTACCTATAGTTGCTGCGGCATTTACTTTTCTTGGAGTCATTTTATCAGGAGGAACTGTGTTGGCTAGCGATGTAAGCTTACTTCATAAATCCATTTTTATAATATTGAAGTCTTCAGCTACATTTTTCGAGCATTTTAAATGAAATTTCAATATTCTGATATAATCTAAATTTAGGCATTTAGCGCAATCACAGTATTTTTTATTATGATGTTCGGTGTTCGAATGATTCCATATGGAGCACGATATGGTGTAGAAGCATTTGTTTCCTTAAAAATGATGCAAGAGATATTGCTCTATCCGGAATATGATCAGCAAATTCCTGTATGCTCAGATGCAAATATGGCTGTTCAGTTCAAAAGCGCTACATTTTTGTGGGATACCAAAAGTAATTCTGCTAGTTTTCTTGCTGTCATTTTTCATTTATTTATTGTATACCATTTGCTAGTTCATGTTGACAAATAAACTTTGATGAGATTAAAAATTTGACTATAAACGATATAGTAAGGCCAGGCAAATGAATTGGCATCAAATCTGAGAGAAACTTGTGAACGAAGTCCTGTTGTCGATAATGAACAAATCAGTAGTGATTTTACTATTGCTCTGGAGGACATAACTTTCAACGTGCGAAAGGTTATCTTTCACTTTTCAAATGATGATGCATGATTAACAAATAAATTTGCTTTGAAAATCAATGTCGGGATCTGATTATAATTCGGTGAAATATTTGTGAATATCACTGCTGATTTAGAATATAAGATTTGTTGTAAACTCAGGTTTTGAACGTGTTTCAATGCATTAAGAAGCATTAGTTTTTCAAAAATATTCAGTCAATTAAAGTGTTGAAGTATTTGTATGGTCGATTTAGAATATGAGATTTCTGTAACTTATTTCTGTAACTTGTTCCAGAAAGAACTTATTGGTATATGTGGTCCTGTAGGTAGTGGTAAAACAGCTTTACTTAATGCTATCACTGGACATGTAAGTTTTTGAAGTATAATATAATTTTTCTTAAAACTTGAATTATCATCTTGTTCTTTTTGAAAAAGGAAGTTTACTAGTTCAGTTAATGCACACTTTTCTCTTTTAAGCTCGTGCCAAAAGATGGGTCGCTCAATGTTTCGGGACCAGTAGCATTTGTAACACAGACACCGTGGATTCTGAATCGAACAGTTCAAAGTAATATATTATTTGGTTTACCAATGAATACGAGTCGATATTACCGAGCTATAACAGTTTCTGAACTTACGAAGGACTTGGAAACAATGAAAGCAGGTGATCAGACGGAGGTAACTGTTCAAATTAAAACAGAATAGTGTTTTTATTTAGGCTTGATACTTTTTGATTTCTGGAAAAGTTGGACAAGTTCTTAGACTTAACAAAGATAGATTTTCTCATTAGAATGTTTTTATTTGCATATAAATTTCTATAATGAAGCTGCAAAAATTGTGTTTTTAGATTGGTGAACGAGGAGTGACACTTTCTGGTGGCCAGAAAGCCCGAATTTCCTTAGCCAGAGCACTTTTTGCTAATAGTCGTGTTTACTTACTAGATGACATTTTTGCGTCTCTGGATCGTCAAGTCGCTGATCGTATTTTCAAGCATGCTATTAAAGATATGCTTTCAAATAAAACTGTTTTATTGGTCACGGCAGACATTAAAGTTAGTTGAAATTTCCTTTGTTCAAGATCGTAGAAATTTTTTTAAATAAAACTATAAAACGGATAGTTTTCATGTATCATATCAGCATATTCATCACATTGGAAAAATTTGAATTAAATTATTTTTTTAAAATTTGCTTCTATGTATTCTTGAAAGAATCGTGAGATAAATGGGGTGGCACTAAAATATGCTGATTTCGTTAATTTATTGAAAAGGGAAGGGGAATTCCATATTGTTCTGAATGTACTTATTAAATACAGTAGCCTCGTAATTCTATGTTTTATTAGGAAAAGAAATGATGGTGAAATTGAAATACTTTTTATCTACAGAAAAAATTGGCGAAAGATTTTTTTTTATTCTTAAAGAACTGGAGAAAAATGTAAATCCTTAAAAAAATATTAGTAGTATGAGATGTAAGCTTATCGTATCTGTGATCCGACAGGGAGAAATTTCACTGCTACTTAACGAGATTATTTTCAATTAGTTTTGCATTGCTTCTCGAAATGTGACTCCTCTATCTCTAAATATTCTAGTTAATGACTGTTTTTGAAAGCTTTTGTCCTGTTCTGTAATTTTATTTAAAAGAAATGATAGATAAGTCATTAGAGAAGAGCATGTTGTGATTTTGATTTTCCACTGAAAAACATTTGAAAGCAAACTTGAGATATTTGGTGAATTATTCTAAGATCCAATTTCTAAAATAATAAAGTGTAACAGGTCTTATATGCTTAGTATGTATCAGAACTTCAGTTACATCTGTGAGAAAAAATATATCTGCCAAAGATTGGTAGAAGTAAAAATGGATAAAACTGTGCCAGTATGTTTAATTCAGTAACACAGGAGGTTAATCTTTTTTCTTTGTAATTCGAAAAAAACTAAATACTTTTTTTCAAATCTCTGGTAAATTATCAAAAAGTTTTAGTTTATTTTGAAATCTTTTGACCTCATATCTATGACTAAGAATTTGAGCATTAATTGCAAATCTAATACAAAGTTTGTCCCATGACAACTTCTGATAATGCTAAATTTTTAAGTGGTTGACCAAATGCGATCGTGTTTGTTTCATGGAAGGTGGGAGACTAAAAGGTCAAGGTACACATGAAGAATTACTAGAAAAGTGCGAAGCCTATGCTCTTTACTGCGAGCATTCATTGTACTCTGGTAAATTTACTATTGTTATAAGTAGATGAATGCAAAATTTTTTCTCAATGCTTTTTAGAGCCTTTTTTTCATTTTTCAAAATTTTTCATCAGATGAAATGAAGTCAACTCCCAGTACCATAGAAGAGCACGATGCCGGTGATGGTTTTGTAAAGATTAATGCAAAAGAAGAATCCAGAGAATTTGTCGAAGCTCAAAGAAAATTGGTGTTAGATGAACTTCACGCATCAACATCTTTGATCGATGCTAGCAAATCTGATAATCTGATAGGTAAGGTGATGATGTATATTTTTTCTTTCAGCTTATTTACGTTATTTCCTAACCTGAAAGGTTTGATTCTGTGCACAAACTTTTTATTCGCAGTCTGTCAGGTTTTTTAATACTTTTTCCGAACAAAATAGAGAGTTGTGCTTTGTTATTTATATTTGTGAATATGATCAGCTTTCAAAAATTTAGGAAAACTTTTTAGGTAATTTGGTTGAGGAAGAAGAAAACTTTGGATTGTCACGTGTGTCATGGAAAGTTTACAAGTCATTATAACTCTTATTTTCTTTTGCTACATTTTTACTGATATTTACTGACATATAAGTGGTAGAATCATTACTAAGTCTTTTAAAGGTGTATTTAAAGTTTTTAATGATTGCATAGCTTTAGTAGTAAGTATATTGCATGCCTTCTCCTCTGGTCAGTCGATTTAGGCAGTACATCGATGCAACTAAAAGTCGTTTGAGTTGGGTGGTGCTGCTCTTCGCATTCGTTACCAATGTTGTTTTGTCGATATTATGTACAGTGTGGTTGTCGCAGTGGCTAAAACATGGACACTTCAAGCATGTATGATTGACATATAAAAAAGGATTCGATTTTCGATATTAATCCAATATTAATTTATACATGGATTGTTATAAATTTCAATGATTAAAAAATTGGAAGAGGAAAAAAAACTACTTAGATAAACAAATTCACTTATTCTTTTGATCTCAAATCTCTCAATCAAGAGTTTCGTTTGGAATGTAATGGATATTTAGGCCGATGATGGCGCTGATGTAGTTAATATTGTCACAGGCGAATATGTTTTTGGTTATCTGGTATTAGTGATCAGCTTATTCTTTTCAGGACTTCTCAAAGCTAAAATTTTTGTTAATGTGAGTGATTTTATGTTCCCTTTTGCCTTCCTGACTTTTTGTTTCATTTTTTCGTATTTCTAACTTTGAATGATTTAAAAACAAAAGTTTTAGGTATCTTTGAGGGCTGCAACAAACTTGCATAATGACATGTTGAAAAGTGTGATGCATAGTGCTGTGCAATTTTTCGACACAACTCCTAGCGGAAGAATTCTAAATCGATTCTCAAAAGATATGGATGAAAGTAATTTTTACATTTTTCAAGGAATTTAAATTGCTTAAAAGCCATAGTTTGTTTGTTAATGAAGCATTTTAAATTATTCAGTTCGTCTACTCACTAATCAGTTGATTCGACTGGTGTTCGTAAGTTTTGTAAGTTTGTGATTTGTCAAACTAAAAAATATTATGCCTTTTGTAGATTTTGTAATTGAATTTTCAGTCGATACCAGGCTTCCTTTCGCTGTTGAAATTTTCCTTCAAAATTCGCTTATTTGTCTCGGATATCTTGTAATGATCGCATGGATTTTCCCATCGTTTTTGCTTGTGTGCATATTTTTATTTTTCATTTTCGCTGTATTTTTCTTATGCTTTCGAGCCGGTATAACGAGGTGATTATGTTTCATAGTTTTCTACGACATCTTTGAGCTTTAGCTCCTTATATTTGATACGTGCAATGTTTCAAAATTCAGGGTTTCACTTTTGATAATTTCTAGCTTAAAACGATCAGAAAATATATCACGTTCACCATTGTTTAATCATATAGCATCAAGTATGGAAGGTATACTGACGATTCATTCTCTTGGTCAAACTGATGATTTTGTTGAAACATTGAAAAACAAGCTGGATCTTAACAGGTTTTATTCGTTTGTTAGATTCTTTAGTTGAACACATTTTTTTATTCTGTAATCCTTGGCATATCCGATTCTTTTTTTGAAACAAGTTCTTTGTTATCAATCTTTCTTTATCTTTAAATATTTCAAGTTTCAGTGGAGCCATGTTTATGTATCAGTCAGCAATGAGATGGTTAGCTGTATGGCTGGATTTACTGGTCGTTATCATTACGTTCGTTGTGGCATTATTTATTGTCTTTTTGACTGGAAGTATTGCACCTGCAGATGCAGGAATGGCTCTTGTATTTGCGATGCAGGTATTGATCCAATAATTTTCTATATTTTTGATATATTTTTATCAAATCATATGAATTAGGATGCACTGAATAGCTTCAAATGCGCGTTGCTTCTTGAATTTATCTTTCTGACAGGCTAGAGATTTTTTTCGTTTGAGTTTTTATTTACTAGCCTCTGTTTTTCTGAAGTATATAATGAGGGTTATTTGTTTTCAGATGAGTGGTATATTTCAGTTTGCAGTGCGTGCCCAAGCTGAATTGGAGGCGAAAATGACGTCTGTTGAACGTGTTGCATATTATAGTGATGTGAGCAATTATTTCTATAGTTGGTTTAACAAGAAATCAAGTTTTATCAAAATACAATTTGTATCTATATGATATGGTAGTTAAGTGCAAAGAAAACCAAACCTTGCAGGAAGTGTGTAGCTATTTGTAACTCATAGGATGCCAACATTATTACCTTCAATTATTCGCTACATTTTCGACATTTATTTTGAATATGAAATATACGATTTTTTTACTTTTTTATTAATTAGATTTTATTGTTTACTTTGCTCATCCTCTAGAAAACTTGTGAAGTTTCACAAAATTTGTTATGCATTATTCGGAATCGTATTTTGTCTAAATTACAATGGCTGATAATTTTTTTACTAATTTTTAATGGCTAGCTTTCTTAGCATATTGAATCTGACGGTGATTGGGACAAAGAGAATGACGATATTTCGTTAGCAAATGATTGGCCTTGTGAGGGATCTATTGTATTCAAAGAAGTGAAGTGAGTTTAATAGCTACAGTTTATTTTAATCATTACCAAATTGTTTATTCCAGCTTGCTATAAAACTAGTAAACATCGTTTCTCTTAACCCGTCGAACATTTTATTTCATGCATTTTTACTGCTATCAAGTACAAATTTTCTGCATCATAATAACGTTTTGAAGATTGCGTTATCGACCTGACTTGCCATTGGCACTCGATGAGGTCAATTTCAAGATTCAACCAAAAGAAAAAATAGGAGTTATTGGACGTACTGGATCAGGTGAAGAGTTACTATACATGTAAAGACATTTTTTAGTAAAGAAAAATTTCCTTTAAATATCTCACATTAAACATTGAATTTACTCTCTATTTGTGTAAATTACTTATTAAGTAAATCAGTAATATGTTTGAAAAAAATTGAGACATCCTTCCATGTAAAAATAAAAAATTTCGAAATTTTTTATCGATTTATGAAGTTTTGACTTTAATACATACACATAGGTAAGACATCTCTGTGTAATGTTCTGTATCGGTTGTATCCACTAACTTGGGGAACAGTCGAAATCGATGGTGTGAATACTTCTCATATTGGGCTTCACCGTTTGCGTCGAGCTATGGCTGTAATCCCACAAGATCCTTCATTTTTTTCTGGTACCATCCGATTTAATGTTGATCCAAACAATGATTTCACTGATGATCAAATTTGGATGGCTCTTGAAAAGACATATTTGAAAGATATGGTATGATTAATTCAGTGCTGTTTTGCGTTCGTTAATTTTTTCTTTGAAACAATTTTTGCTTTAATTTCAATATTTTTTCAGGTTTCATCATTAGATCAGAAGCTAGATCATCAGATCAGTGAAAGTGGACTTAATATATCTCTTGGTGAGCGGCAACTGTTTTGTATGGCTCGAGCTTTATTAAGGTCAGTTAATTGTGGGATCCACTTAATCTCTATGTATAATTTTTATATTACTATTTTTTCTCTAGCATTGAAAGAAACTGGAAGAAAAAGGCTAAATTAAGTATATTTGTAGAAATAATTTCCCGAAGATTCAATTCATAATATGTGGATCTTAAAATCATACTGTATAGGAAAACGCGTATCGTGGTACTAGATGAGGCTACAGGGAGTCTAGATATTGTAACAGATCGGCGTATCCAGAAATGTATTCATGAAGAATTTGCTGATTGTACAATTATAATGATCGCTCATCGTTTAGAGAACGTTTTTGGCATGGATAAAATCCTTCACATGAGTCAAGGAAAGGTTAGGTGGTTTATCTCAAATTACATTTAATATCTTTTAAATTGTAAGGAGTATGAAGTTCCAGAAAACAATTATAATCATTTCAGGTTCTGGAATTCGATACAATCAGTAATTTGTTATCAAGTGAAGATCGACCTTTCCGTCAGCTGTTGAGTGAAGAGATGTTGCAAAAAATAAGAACACTTGAGGAAGAACGGAATTCGTTGATAAGAGGCTCAGAAGAACTATCAGAAACATCAGTAAATGGAAGTTCTACTAACAGTCCAGAACATTTATATCCATCTCTCCCAGAAGTTTCAGGTAAAACTTCCCCAGAAACATCGGAATTTGAAAAAATTAGTGATAGTGTCGATAAAGAAGTGACGACTATGAGTAGTGAGAATAGTGATCTCGAAATCATTAATAAGTCTGATGCTGAATGATACCAATAAATGCATTTTTCTGAATACTTTTCTGTTGACTTTATAAGCACATTATTAATATACATTTTTGTTATAATCACGATTCAGTTGTAAAAAGAAATAATGTTTGTTCATCTAGTATTCGAATTTTTGAATGAAATTAAGGATTGGTAACCGCCTTACAACTTTTGAACTGTTCAGTGAATAGTCACTTTTTGCGTTAATTTGCAGCATTTCCATGTAAATAATCTTGACCATTTTTGTTATTGTTAAAGTTAGGTTGTTCACAATGTTCATTAACAAGTATAATTCCTTCCGTTCTCGGTATACTGTAATTTCCATGGCACATTCGCTTTCTTATTTTACATAATTTTAGTGAACGGAAGTGAACAACTTGGTCGCTTATTTTTATAAAATACAAGTTTTAGATAAAAAAGTTTTTCTCTTATTGTTTGTTTCCTCTGAATAAAAATTTTGGACTGTGTATATTCTTTATAGTGATGTTCATTTATATGCTATATGTTTCTTCTTTATAATACTTATTTAACATTTTCTGATGCCGAGTTCAATCAACAAAGCTTTAAAGTGACGAATTATATTAGCTGTTTAGTAGTGTCGATTTTTATTAGCAGACAAGTGCTTGATTACTTTCCTGCTCTTTTCATCATTCAAATCATTTGAATGAAATGCTTTCAGCAACTACATTTTAATTGCTTATATTGCTTTGTATTCATCCTTTTCTCTTAAAGTAATTTTTTGTGGAATACTACATGTTTTTGCTGCTATCGTTATTAGTGTGCTCTTTGTTTTTCTGAGATTTTTGAGCAGTTAAGACCAGTCAAATATGGTTAGCACTTTTCGTGCATTATAATTCAAATTCCATTATATCAAACTCAGAATTTGGCTAATAGCTATTAGCACTGAATTTTTTTTCGTGATGCATTAGGTATCTGCAATTCTCAGTGAGTACATAATCTTGAAACAATTTCGACCACTTTGCGTACCGAGATATAAATATTCTGTATTCACTGATACTAAATTGTTTTTAATTGCTTATATTGTTCCACGTAGTTCTCGCAGACCATTTTATATATGCTTACGGAACTGCAATTAATCAGTTATCTTCGTATGATATGGAATATGAAAGGAGACGTATAAAATGAACAATCATTGATGAGACTAAAAGGTGTGTGACATGTGTAATAAAGTGATCGCGTTTTAATGTGTTGCTAGTAATGCGCAGTAAATAAACAATTTTACGCATTTGCAATGCATATAATTGCAGTTAAATATCAAATTAGTTATGTATGTATTGACAAAATATTCTAGTCGAGAACAATGCAAAATCAAAGTTCGGTCGACAATTATTCTAGATAAGAATGTTAATGCTTTGAGATAACGTAAAATGAAATGCAAGATATCGAGGGCGGAATCTGTGACTACATAAGTCTTTGAGAGCAAGCATTCCGTCTAATGTTAGCAAGAAAGGTAGACCAAAACTAGATTTGAAAGGACTGAGTAGTAGTAAAGTCTTGTTATAGTATTTGTAAATGTTTAGTAAGCTACCAAAATTTTAACAAAATAGTGATAATAGTACTGATATGAGGTGATAAGGGCACCAGTTTGCTTTTTTTTTTTTCAAATATTTGACTACAAATTCCTCACATTCTGGCTACTTGACTAGAAGAACTAATATACAATAAGACTAAGGAAGATTGGAAGCCTAAACAAATAAGAAGTGACTTGAAATTGGGCAGTATGACATTTATGAAACTGTAAAAAAAATTCTACATCGTAAGTAGGTAGAATTTTTAAGTACTTGGAAATTCAACTCTTTTTATTGGATCTATATCTGGATGCCATAAATCTAACTTCAGTGTTAATCGATATTTATTTGCAGATGCGCCTTCAAACCATAATTCATGCTCAAATGAATCATCAAAAATAAGGAAACGACCCGCTTTCCAACCTCGAACTTCATCTGCTACTCGTAATCTAGCTTCTAAAATAAATACTCATTACAAGTTTCTTTTTGTTTAAAAAAAAAATTATAATGAGGTTGGTTTTTCGTATAAATTATACTTTAATTTTTGTGATGAAAAATATAGGATATAAAAAAAGCAAAAAATATAGCAAGCAAATAGCATACCAGATGAGACTACAAGACCAAGATGGGCTTGAAGTAAACAATTTGAGTAACCACAGTGTGGCCAAGTCCTAGTACCACTTGTAAGAAGCGAAAATTTAATCTGCAAAACAAATCAAAGCAAATATCCTTGCTAAGTTCTTTTTCTAATATACATCTTCATTTTTCTTAGCTATCCATTGTTACATCTGATCAAAAACGATCAAATTAATTTCTTCCATATTTTCTAAAAGTTTATTTATCCTAATAGAAAACAAAATAATTACTTTCATGTTCCATAAGCAACTAAGAATTAATTAACATTTTAAGAAATTTTATCAAAAGTATTTGAAAGAAATTATTTACAAAGATGAATACAAAGTATTCAAAATTACTATTTTATATTAATATCATACCTCGCTCTTCAAGCAATTACATGAATCTTTGAATAAACGCAAAATACTGCAAGTTTTTGGTGCTTGTAAGCAATTCGAAGAATTCCATGTATTACTTTTGTATAAATAATATGATGACCATTGTCCATTGATGACCAGTTCTTTGTGTTCACTTTGAAATAAATGTGACTGACTATTCAAAATTAATACTGCTTCTTCCCTAATTGCTGCCCATTGCCTTTCAATACTCTAAAAACTTAAATATTCCTCAAGAATTTAATTATCTTTACTATACTGCTATGATTATTTTGCAACGTTCAACAATAAGTGAAAAAAAATTGCAATTATTATTAGAAGTAAAAAAAAGAAGATTCTTTAAAAAACTACTAAAATTTTATTATGCCATAAGGTTTCGGCGATGTATTTCCTCGCCGAGTAAATATCGCTCAAATGATATATCACAAAAAGGAAAATTATTATTTATATAAATTTTTCATCAAAATTTTAGTAGTTGCTAAGTGGAAATCAGAAACCTTGAGATGTTTTGAGCACGAAGTTTGTTCTACTGACCACCATGGACGAGCGCTCAAGCCCTCAACGTTATACAGAGATCTTTGATAAGGAGATATGAAAAGACCAACTTTGACCCCAATGCTGTACACTTGAAAAGCCTAAAATACATATCATAAACCATTTATATCATCAAAAAATTTAGAGTGCTGAATACGATTTTGAAAAAAAATACAATTTTTAAACAAATACTCACTAATGAAAAAAATTTGAAAACAAAATTTTCTAAAAAGTCAATTAAAAAAAATTCTTTGAAGATTAATTTCAACAAATAAAATAAAAAAATATCTATGATAGCTATATGTCATGCAAAATACAAAAATATTATAAATTAAAAGAAGAACTTTATATTTTTTCTTTTTGTACTACAAAAATATATCACAGAAAAAGTTCACTTTATAAAAACGAAGACGAACTGTTATGTTTTAATAACAAAAATAATGTACTTCATTGTCTACAATTTACGGAAAAAAGTAAAAGTAAAAATAAGATTAAGGGAAGATGATATTATTGCTATTACTATTATTATTATTGTTATTATTATTATTATTATTATTAATGGCTGCAAAGTTGCTCACCTCTTTCTTTCTACCCAGTCTTGTCAGTGCATCTCCAAAGTGATAATAGAATCTGAAAAAAGTATCTCTTTAATCCAAATTATTTCTAAATGTTTGAGTAATATCAAAAAATATTTCTTATGACAAATAATATTAATTAGTGATGTTATCAGAATATAAAAACTATAAAACTCTGATTTGTCTAATTTTAAAGGCTAATAAACATGGAATTGCATGTTTATTGGCCTTAAAGTGTGTGGTATTTTGACACGCTTATCTCCTCTAAGAATTGCTTCTGCAAGCAAGGACGACCTGCGAAGCTACTGATCACAACATTTGCTTACTTCTTCAATTCTTGAAGGCTAATCGCACACACGAACTTTTTGCAATACTGGCAGCGACAAAAAGGTCATCCTCAACTAGGCATCTTCCCAAGACGGTCAAGAACCGCCTTCAGCACTTACCCTGACCAGCTGCTGTGCGGAACTTCGATTCTTCGAATGATTACTTCAAGTGTAATCATCCTGCTGTTTCCTGGTTCCGGTACATTAGCAAATGCTCTCTCACACCCTTCACGGAGCTTTTCACACCTCATATAATTTCCTATTGTTTTCTACTATAATTCCAGACGTGGTTTTTCTCCGTTCATGCTCCATTTTCTTCTCAGGCTTCTTGTTTTTAGAAACTTTCAAGGCAAATTTAAATAATTAAGAGTACTTTTTGTCAAAAGTAGAAATGCGATTGTTTTACAAATCTTAATGATCACTTGCGGATTATAAATATATACAATGAAATTACTGTTACATACCTTGGATCAGCAATGACCTCACGAGCACTGCGTAAACCTTTCCTCATGAAAAATACGCCATTTTCTAAATCACCATTCAACTTCAAAATATAACCAAAATATGCTTGAGCGATGCCATTTGTTGGTGAAACCTTTAAAACCTATAAAAACTTTCCAATAAATTTTAATAAAGTTTGAGAAAGACCAAAATGTATTCTTTGATATTTTAATATAAATATTTTCATTACATATTAAATAGAGAAAAATAAATATCATGTATATTTGAGAAAAAAAATTAATAAATATTACTCATATATGTAAAAAGAGCAACAAACGTTCTCGAATATCAATCGCGCGTCATCTTTACGTCCCATCATTAGAAAGGTCAGGCCTTGATCGTTGTGCAATTGTAGATCATCAGGATAACGATCAATTAGAGATCGTTGTGCTTGAAGTACACGGTGTAAAGCACCTCGAAATCTAGCTCGATCTATTAAACGATATGCTGCTTGACTGCAAAATATTCATTTAAAATCTCAAACTTAGAAAAATTTGAAAAAAAACTTCATAAATTTCCAAACCCCAAAAAATGACTCTAAAAACACTGTTCTAAACTTTTTTTATTTTGAAAACATAAATTTATAATTTCAGATTTAATACAATTTTGTCGCTATTTATAATTAATGAAATTTTTAAAGAAGTATTTTAAAGAAAATGCATAATAAAGTTTACATTTCGCCAAACACACAAATTTGAATTGCTTGTTTTTTGCATACAAATCATTTTTGTTTATGTCAGTAATTTCTGTTCTCAGAACATGCAGTTTTGTTTATAGTTAATCGTTATTTTTTAAATATTCAAATACAAATTTATCCACAACGTAACTGTAATTTACAATATTTATATTTTATAGATGAAAAAATGCAACAATATCAATCATTTCATTCTAGCTTTCTGTTTTTAATACCATTATATTCAAAATGATATTGAATGAAAAAAGTTTTGAATTTTGTCAAATTTAAAAAGCTTCAAAAAAATATTTAAAATTGAGTTATGCAAAGAATTCGAACAGTAAAACTTATTAACCTCGTCATCATCAACGACTATTTGTACTAAAATTTAAATCTATTCAAACTACTAAATAATGCAAATAATAATTTATTTTCGTCTAATACTTGAAAACATGAAAAAAAATGTTTAGTACGTGAAGAAAAGCAAGTGATTACTTGAACAAAGCGTCAGGCGTGTCGTCAATGTCAAGCACTTCCTGATATTCATTAATTGCAATATCTAACAACTTATAATCTGATTCACTTTCACTTCTGATATCATTTGCTCGAGCAATTCCAAAGTGGGCTCGAGGACTATCGGGATTATTCCGCAGAATACTCTCGAAAATTGCAATTGCAGGACGATAATCATGCTAGAAATTATCAAAATTGATTCTGCAACTAAATACTTATCAAATGTAGAATACTACTTTTCAATAAATTTCAGTAAAATAATTCTTAACGTGGATATCGATTTGCATATCACTGATCTTCAAATCAAATGATGAATTTTATAGATCAATCCAGAAGACGATCATTAATCAGCCATTTAATTTTTTTAATATTGTTAATGGCAGTCTTACCTCGGCTCTAATATAATCATTTTGGTGAAAAAAATATTCTCACATACTTGCAACTTCAATGACATAAAAGTAATAATCAACTGATAAATTGAAACTTTATGATAATAAAAATATTTTTCAAAACGATAAATAATTCTAATATTTAAATCAAATGTATGCTGCAATAATAAATTGCTAAAATATACAGTTATGTGAGAATATGTAGTAACTAAAACTACTACAGTATCAGTACTGTAATTATTTAACACGTGTAATTTTACCACTGCAGATTTATATGTGTAAATAAAAGTTGCAAATTCTATTTGATAAAATGTTAATTTTAATAATCAGAAAAATTGTAAAAATTAGGCTAGCAAACTTTTTAGATGTATTAGCATTGGTTAGGGCATATGAACTTGAAATAACAAACAATAAATTTAGTATCATATACATTTATTGTAAATGAATAATTGTGAACAAAAACAAATGGAATTTTATTTTCAAACAGTGCGAGCGAAAAAAATTACAAAATGAATTTTTGTACAGAACGAAGACAATAGTTGTGAGATAAGCAATAATTATTGATATTCAACAAAATTTTTAAAATTTGTCAAAATAGTAAACAAGTTTTCAGCAAATTTGAATATTCATATTTAATAAAAAAGAATTCAAAGATTAATTACTAAAAAGGCATATATAGCAAATTCAATTACTATAATCGTTTAGTCATTAAGACTAAAATGAAAAAGTCAAGGTTCATCTATCTATTCTTCTTCTTCAAAAATAAGAAACGCACTCAGTAAATAGACTAAACACGAGATTAAGACCAATCTGGCATATCGAACTATAACTGATAAAATAATTCACTGATAATTCAATCATATTAACATTCATTCCAAAATTGTTAGCAGTACCACTTTGAGTTTTTTTTAATAATTTATATAAATCAGGAGATCAAACAGTAAATATATCAGTGATTACATCACTATTCAACGTGAATTACATCACTATTCAACGTGAATAAATGATATAATCACTCGTGAGTGAAAAGCTCAAACAAAAGAAAATGTTATAAAATTATTAAAACATTCAAGCCATTTAATAACATTATTATTATTAACATTGTGAACATTCACAAGGAATAGAATTGATTAAGACTCATTAACAACTTATTTCATGCTACAAATATTGCAAATTTCGTACAGTTTATTTAATTAAGTATAACTTTCAAATCACACGTAAATACACTTCAAAGTAAGTTATTACACAAAAAATATATTGTAAGTTTGACCTAACCAATCGCGGATAACAGATTACATATTTTGCATTAGAGCAGAAGTGTGGAGATTAAAAGCATGAAATGCAAACTTTATTAACCCTTGCTGATAAGTAAGCGTAAAGGTGAAATGCTTAAGTTCAAATATCTTCATAGTAAGTAATAAATAAATCAAACTTTTTCGACATTTAAATACATTTCAATTAATTTTTAACAGAAACTCAACTATGATCGGTCAAAAATAAATTAACCTTATGACAACTTTTATCTCCAAGCATGAAACCATATTTGTTCATAAAAAGTCTACTTCATAAGTCAAATCAACAAATAATTTCAGATGAATTGATTGTAGATTAATCATTTAATTTTCAGAATTTGTTAGTAATAAAGCTGATATTAGTATGAAGAGATTTCTCGCTTAAAATGAGACTATTGTAGAAGTTATTCAAATCAGTCCTTTTAAGATTGTAAAACTTCAATTTACTAAATGAGTAAAATAAAATTACCCGATATTTTTTCCATTTATAATACAAAATACGGATGAATGAACATGGAAAACAACAAGACAAACAAACTGATCAGTAAATTTGATTTAGATAATAAAAATTTGAGCTAACTGTTTATAATTCGTTTTAATATGTACAAAAATTTATAAAATTTCTTGTCATTACTTACTTCTTGATATCACTTTACTTCTCTCATTTTCATATTTCTTTACTGACCTTTTCAACAAGATAATCTGCTCGATCTAACTGATCTCGATATCTGTGATCATCACGATTAGTTATCGCATGACGCTTGTAAATACCAGCATCAGTTAGCCTGGAACAAAATTTAAATCATTTGTATGGATGGGAAACTGAACTTATAAAATTGTAATTTATAATGTATATGTAACTTATATAAATTATATATCGTTTTTTTTAAGCCTTTTCTAATCAATGCTATTAGAAATATATCAGACAGAAAAAATTTTGATCAAAAAAATAACACGTAAACTAATTTAAATTTAAATTTATAACTTTAATTAATTTATGACGAAAATTGTTTTGATAAAAAATTCACATATTGCTAATTTAACCACAAATTATCAAAGAATTCTTAGAAATTTAAAACTTTTTATGAGGTGGAGATGGAGAAGCAAAAGAAAAATAGCTATTTTAATCTTCAAAAAATACTCACCACTTTTGACCTTAAAGTAAACAAGTAAAATAAACTGTCTAAGAAATTATTTACGTTTTTCAAGTGATAATAACATAAAACGAACAAACTTTTCTTTCTTAACAGCTGCCAAATTGCTAAAATCAGCTTCATCAGTATCGCCGTTATCAATTTTTCTGCCTCTATCACTGTCTTTATCACTGCTTTCATCATCCCTTCCGTCTTCATGAACCAATTCAGAAGTACTTTTTGTCGACTTCTGTTTGCTCCGACTTGACATAGAAAGCTAAAAATGTAAATTTGCAAAATAAAGTAATTACTAATTCGAACTCAACAAATATATCAAATAAATTTTTTCCTAACTGTTTACTTTTATTTTTTAAATACGAAAAGTTTTTGTACTACAAACGAATTTAGAATAATTATCAAAAATTTGCATAAATTACTCACTGGCACTTGTTTCAGCAGTGACATTCGTGGATGACTGTTTTCAGAGGGGCAGTTTTTACGCTTACATTCCTGTAAAAAAGTCTTGTTCTTAACGTCAAAATTAAGATAAATTCATGCATAGCGCTAAATTTTAAATTTCACTTTTACTCAAAGATGTGTCCACTAAGTTAGACAAATCTTTCATGTTTCTATTACGCTAATTTCAAGATTACACGTTTCGGTTGATCTGCTGTAAAGGATTGTATAATTCGATGTTTTTTTCTTAATTTGAATTTTGGTTTTACGAAATATTCTTCTTTTTCATTGCCTTCTGAATCTTCGTCACGTTTTCCATCATCCTTTTCGCTTTCCACGAGTTCTTCCTGTAGTTTTGTTCTATTTATTATGATCAACTACCGATTGTACGAAGCGCAGTTTATTATGCTATCGAGTCTTCATATGATATTCTACATTTTGCAATGTAACTTACATTCGGTAATTGTTTCTTTTCTTTCTCAGAATCTTCTCCCTCTCCCTCTATTCTCTCAGGTACCTTTGTACCATATTCTTCTTCAGTCACACCTTTGTCATCTTCCTCAGAAATCTAAAAAAGTGTACAGATAGCTATGGTGTAAATTACTCAATTACTCATCATGAGAAAATTTACAATTACTACAAGTTACCTTCATGGATTTTGGTCTTTCCTTCCCACCAACTTTATCGATTTTTTCTACTTTCACGGTAGTTTTCAAAAATTTACTTTAATGCTGCGCCAAAAATATCATTAATTCAAAATTTTTTAACTAAAATTAAAAACAAACAAATATGTAAAATAAAAAATTTGTGTTTTTCTTGCTTGAGAAGATTATTATTATTGATTTATTATTTATTTATTCAAAATTATTATTTATATAATGATTCACAGCTATAATTATAATAAAAACAATTAATTTTTAATTCATACCTTGTTATCATCATCATCATCATCTCCATCTTCATCATCATCATCATCATCACTACCCTCTGCATCCTCATTATTGTTTTCAAGTTCATTAGATAATTTTGATAATTTTTTTTCAGCCTTAGCTCGAAGATTAGCTAAGCGAATTTCTTCCTCTAATCTTTCCTCTTCATCTAATCTGTCATCCTCACCTATAATAAGTGAATTTTTTTGCGCAGTCTAATAATAAACATATATATAAATTTTTATCCAATTTGCAGAAATTATTATTGTACTGAATAATCAATCAGTAATAAAAATAATTGAAACAGTAAGCAAATTTAGTTTTAAGCATAAAATCTTTTTACAAGTTATATCTTTTATAATGAATGGTCAAAGTAATAATAATATATATAAGATTAGTTAATATTTCTTTGCATAAATTAAGAAATGTACATGCTTTTTAGCTCAAAGTATGAGTTATTATGCCTTTATTTTGCACAAGAAGAGTGAAAGATCAGGCATGAAGATACCAGAATCTGAGACATCCTGAACTGGTTGGTGAACTTTTCTGCTTTCTTTGATAATTCTGGATCCTGAAATGTATTCTCGAGATGGAGTAGTATCCTTCTCAGCTCGTCGATTATGCATTGCCATCTCATCGCCATCATCATCGATATCACCATCGTAGTCAATATTTCCATCGTCATCAATTTCTGTCATTAAAAAATTCATATATCTTACATGAAAACTTATTTTCTATAATACTGATATAAATGTTATTAATAATAATTAATATTATTATTGTTATATTATTATCATTATCATTAGTACTATTACTATTATTCTTATTATACATATTTCTAATACTAATAACAATATTACTTTTCCCATCAAAATTATGATCTCTGTTTTTATATTTGTGAATAAGACCATGTATTTCTTTTTGTTACTGAAATTGAGTTTTTGTACATTTTTTACAGATCAAATTCTAATCAAATTCAATTTTTAACAATAACGTTACAACTTATCGATCCCAGCTTACCACGTGATCTTCTACTTGTTAATACTTTCTCATTGAGAGAATAAAACTATACCTAACTAAAATTTTGTTATTTATTAAATCAATTTATCAATATTAAAACGTGTAACGTTTCAATGTTTTAACGTTAAATTACAGCGTATAATGTGGCAAAATTTCTCACCAAAAGCCACTTCTCCTGATTGTTTGGCAGAAAATAAGGTATAAAGACTCGAGCAAAGTATAACAAATACTAAAATTACAGCCCAAAGTTTAAGTCCACCTTTGGTCACGCTATAGTCCACCTTGCTAGATGCGACTACGACAGCCATTGGTGCTGCAACACCCACTGAAATTCACATTATGTAGATACGTACTTACAATCATAATTTTTTCTCATCACATTAATAATTGTAATTGTTATAATAATTATCAGTTTTTCGTGTAAAAGTTTTTTTCGTATTGATAAAATTGATGTCAATTTTCATATCACAAATCCTAAATTATATTTCATTCTTAGCAATAAACTATTTCATTAAATATCTAAATTAAATATTATTATAGCTTAAATGATGCACATTTAATGTAGTTATCAATTCTCAGAAATTGCGTAGTATCTTTTTTATCAAATATATAAGCTTGAAAATTATTATCTTCATTAGTTATGCATAACTCAACACCGTGTGATACAAATCATATCAGATATTGATATAAAATGATCTTTCAGATGATAACATTCAAGAGATATCCTAATCATAGGACTTACATTTCCTTCAATATCAAAAGTTATTTGAAAAAACAACACAATTTTCGTGCATACAATTGTTATTTCTATCATTCTTACTAATACTTTATTATCAAAAAAAAAAAAAATTTTTAATCAAAACAGAAAAATTCTAATATTAATAATAACTATCATTATTAATATTAATAATACTACAATTTATTTCCAAAACTATTAAATTTTTATTCTATTAATTAGTTATTAAGCGTCTTCGCAATCTTACCTTTACTTTTTGAGACTAATGAAATCTTTTTTATTTGTTAAATCTAATTTGAAATGGCATCTTCTATTATAAAAATTAGTTTCCCGCGTAAGATATTTAATTTTATGCTTAGAAATTTAATAATCCCTTTGGGTTTCGATATTATCACTGCTGATATTATTTTTATTGCTTGTACAATTTTTTTAGTCAAACAGCTCGGAAAATAAATATGAAACAATTCAGTTCATTTGAAAATTGTTATCAGTTATCAGTAATTTATGGTAGTTTTAGGGAAGCGAATCCATCAACTGTGTTTTTTTAACTTATTAAATTATTTATGAAGTAATAAAAAAGACTTTTTGTGATAATGAAGAAAAAGTATTGCTAATAAACATTCACTCACTTGATATACATACATATCTAATTACAAATTACAGTAAGTTTCCAGCAAAAGTATTAACTTATTATCTTTATCCTTTGACCTTTCGAGGTAGAACTTGTGAATTCATCGATAAAAATGATATATTTACTTCATGTGGGATTAATGACAAAAAGGTGATGATAAAAATTGCAGAAATGAAAACAGTTGTAAAGATTTTAAGTCTTTCAAGTATAGTTTCAAACAGCAGTAAATGGCCTGAAAGTTAGACGCAATCATTTCTGAAGTAAATCATTCAATTAGCAAATAACTTAAATTTCAACCGGTAAATGAATTAATCAGTAAACAAGCAAACCTCAAATTACTTTATATTCAATTTAAATTTTAATAATTATTCCGATAGCAACTCAAACAAATCTCACTGCCTGCATCTTCATAAAAATCATTCAGTCTAATCTAATTAAACTTACTTAGCAAATAAATAAAATTAGCATTAAAAATCAAATCAAAATGAAAAATTAGAACAAAAAAAACTGCTTATTTTGAAATTTAATTCATTTTTAAAAAATATGCAAAGACAAAAGAAAGCAATTAAAGAAGGAAAAGGAGGGAATTATTCTCGATTTAGGGGGGATTATTCATGAATTAGGAGGGAATAATTGTGCAATTTTTCTCGAGCCTTTTTTCAAACTAATATTTTGCTATTTTTTAAATAAGTTTAAATAAATTTACAGAGACAGAAAAGTAGTAAAAAAAGCAACTTCTGATGATAAGTTTAGTGTAAAGAAAAAGAATTCTACAATTTTAAGGAAGGATGAGAGTAGAAGTAATTCACTTCAGTACAAATATATTCTGTCTCAGCAAACAAGACTTACTCCTTCTGCCAGCCTTACACTCAAAACATTCGAAAAACATATCTAATCTACAAGTCCGTTCTCGGATGTCTATTTATCTTACTTTTCGATCACACAACTGCGTGAGAAAAAAAAACGAACGCAATTCGTTCAAGTTAAGTAAAGTCATTAATCTTCTAATACTTCTCACATGATCTTCATCAAACATTACATACTTTATCATTAGTAATTTCTAATTGCTCTAATTCAAATAAGTTCAAATAATTAACTCAAATAAGTTGTTGTATCAAGAAAGTACGTGAATTAATAGCTATTTTTGTATAATATCACATCATAAAACTTTCTGCAAAAAATTACGTGTATAAACGTATTTAAATTCTAAGTTTGAATACACTTTCTTGCTCTTTCACTTTTTATTTTTCAAATTTTTTTGTGCTATTTTACAGCGATCAGATTGTAAATTCAGTAATTCAGTAATAGATTATATAATACACATTGATAGACTTAATGTTTATGTATTGAAGCATTTAAAATTTTTTATATTCACTTATTCTGAAAAAAAAAATTTTTTTAACTCTTAATATTAATGAGAATTTGAATTTGAAGAGTTGTTCTTTGATTTGACTGATTTTTTGAAAATAAAATTATTAAATAAGTAAAGTAATAAGCATTATCAACAAATATTTCTGACTGATTGCTATTTACAACCGATATCACTTTATAATCAGAACTTAATTCTTAACAACTATTGTTATTTTAGTGATTTATGCAAATGCCTTAGGCTTGGATTAATTGACATTATTAAAATTCCTTGTTATTACTGCAATTGCGGTTATCATGAATGCATGTAATTATTATAGTGACACTGACAATGATATTTGACTATTACCATAATTATAAGTATTAAGAATATTATGCAAATAATAATAATAATATAGATTACAATAGCAATAATAGCAATAAATAGTGGCTTTTACATTTATAAGCATTATGAATAATTTGACAATTTTACAATACTGTATAGATGGAATTATATTGACAAATTGTACTAATATTATCACTATTATAAAAAAGAAAGATTAGCAATGATAACAGTGATAATAATAATAATATTCCTGATATTGTTATAAAAAGTAATAATAGCTTATAGCATAAAGTGCATAATATCGGATAACAATTAAGAGGCAAATTCAAATAATAAAAACAAAAGTATTGACTTACGGCTTATTGATGCTTGACGTCTGAAGTGAGGTCTTAACTGCGCTTGCGTATTGCCATTCATCACAAATTTGCTTGCATTACATTTCTTCCATTCCAACCAGTTAATAAGTAATTAAGTCAAAAATTGAATAAGAATACTGATAAATAAGTTAATAAGTACATAAGTAAATAGGTAAAAAAGTAACTAAATAACTTGTCGAATGAATGAATTGTTGTCTATTTGTCGGGCAATATTAGCAGCACTGCAACAGCTGTGTAAATACACTTTAAAACTTTGCTAAAAGCTTTTGCTTTGCTCGCTCGTTACTCTTAAACTTAATAAGAAATTAAAGTCTGCTTAAGTTCGTATTTATCTACTAGCTAGACCACATTATCGTCTTCATCACTGAAAGCAATTGCAATTAAAATTGTAATAAAATTCAAAACTAAATTTGAGTTAGACTAAATTTAGATATACTATCATCACCAAGTATGAATTTATCTGTTTAATTTAGCACTTATAAAAGTTTTGATGGATTATGATAATAACAAGGATAAAGATAGACTTGTATTTATTACTTTCAGATTTTTGAATAATTAAAAGTATGGCAGGCAAAAGTTTTTCAACTTAAAGTTTATATTCATAACATATAGTACATCGAGAAATATGTAATATGTACTTACTCAAAAAAAATAAAATAGTCATATTTTTTAAATAAGTATTTTGGCACAGAATGAACATATTTTTTAATGATTAACAAAGTATTATAACTTTGAAAATGATAAATAATAAAAAAACACGTGAAATAATAAAAAATAAAACAATGATAGTACTCGAATAAAATAATAAAAAACAATGATAGTACTCGAAATAAATTTGCGATTAATTTACGATTATGAGCAAATTTTAAAAAATATCAAAAGATGACAAAAATTTGCATAATTTTCAAATTATTCAGTATAAGATTGAATGAAATTATAAAAGTTATTCATTCATTCGTTAATAATTTGTGTTCAAAATGCATAGAATTAGCATGGCTTTTGCAAAATAAATGCAAAAATGTTGAAAGTTTTTCCAAAAAATAATGCCAAAATTTAGTTAATTTTAGCGGTTTGCCTCACAATAACAAAAGTCCAAAAAGACAAATTACAAACTTTAAAAGTTTAATCATTTCAACTTATTTCTCGCAATTTTTCTTGAATAGTCCACTGATTACGTGAATTTTCTTGGCGTATTTAATTTGCTGAAGTGGTTGATTCAGTAAGAAAAATTTAGAAACCAGAATATCATTATCAAATTCTTTGATTAATGCTATGCAGAGTATGTTTGAGGATAATAGTATCAATTTACTTTTATTATTTTCATATTCACTGCTTTACTATTGTTGCTTCTTATTCAAATAAAGTAGTAATAACTTTTTGTCTTTACTGTTATCTAGTCATTATCACCTTCATCATTTTAATTATTAACATTATTATTACTATTTGTATTCATAGGAATTTTGCAGTATTATTAACAGTATTTCATGCAATACGCATAGCGTTTCACACATTTTATCATTAGTGCAATTATCATTAATTATCATTATTCCTATTTTCCATATGTCATTTTATCATTATTTTTATTTTTCATATGAAAGTTAATACTTAATTGAAAGTAACTAATTCTGCATAATTAAACAAAACCGAATAGAAATGATCTCAGCTATTTGCATTATTAGTCAATTTTTAACAAAATTGCAAATCGCAAGAATAATTCAAAGGTTCTCAGAAATTGTGAATAACTTTCACAACTTTCAAGTACAACATTCCTATTAATTCTTTAACTTCTAAGCGAAAAGTAAACATTGACAAAATCTTTACGCAATTTAAATTACAACAACTTCTTGCATATTCACAATAATGTTTATTCAGCAATTCTTTTTTCAAGTGCAAAAGATAATTAAATTAATTTTGTGATTTAATTCACAAAAAACCTGCTGCAATATATCAATTAATTAGATTATGTCGAAAGCTTTCATTTTTGTATCCTAAGAATTTCAGATATTTTGATCGTAAAACTTTTGATTACTTCCTGGAGTAATCAATGCTATATAGTTTTGATCGAGCATTTTACTCCTTTCAATTTTAATCGCGCCATTTATCAAACTTGTAAGCAAGAAAAATAAATCATTTCGTTTATAAAAAGTATTAATTTGCAAATTAAAGAAATTAAGAATAGCAAAATTATTAAACGATTACATGAATACTTAATTAATAATCAAGTATTATCAAAAATAGATAATATGAAATATAAAAAAGAATGGAATCTGGCAGGAATGAATATTAATAAAGATATTTAAAACAAATTTCAAGACTGAAATAGAAGAGCAAAAAGTAAGCAACGAAGGATTTTTTGCAATTATCTGAAAGTTTAAATAAGAATTTTTGAGACAAATAATCAGAAGAAAGACTAAGTTTAGAATGAGTAAAATATATAAAAAAAACTAAAATGAATAAATTTAGATAAAAGTTTGAGAAGTTTGTCTATTGAGCGCTAAGAATTCTCACAGATTAAATAAATAAGATTAAAGTTAGCAAAAGTTTTAAGCATTCAGAAGATACTTTACTTTCGACTACAATATTCTCATGAATAAGATATGAAAATTGAATAATTAAGACTGAACTTAAAATTGAATTTGCATGCATATATATTTTGTCGTACAAAATAATTCATATGACAAAATATATATGCATGCAAATTCAATTCCCGAAAAGCATATCTTGAAAAAGGTTCACTTTTTGACATATTTTTTAAACTTCATATATATTAGATTATTTTTTTTATTTTTATTTTTTATTTTTTGATATATTTATGCTACGTCAATTAAATAAAGGACAAAGGCAATAGTAGGAATTGTTAAAGCATAATCTAATATATATGAAGTTTAGCATTTAGAAAATAATTCTCAAGTTTCTACGCAAGTGTGATCGCACATCTGAATAACTAATTGAATAATTAATTGATGCAAACTAAAATATAAATTGACGAAGTAGGCATACAAAACACTCAAAATTCAACTGCTTATAACAAATACAGTGAAAATTTTAATAATCTAAAAAAATAACTTTGCAAACTGTCAACAGTAATAAATTACTAGTTTTGTGTTTATTTCACTATTTTCGTTGCTTTAATATTGCATTTTTTTTTTCTCGCAATTTTATCAAAAATAAAATTACACTTTTGAAAAACACAAAATAGAAGAATATGAAATGGAATTCTACATGGAGTACTTCAATGATTGCTACAATATCAAAAAACTGATAATTCAATCAGTCAATCAGTTAATCAACCGATCAAGGTCAAACAGTTTCTACTGTAATTCTCACAAGTGACTAAAAAAATTACTTGAAATAAAAAAATGCAACAAAAAAGCGTCAAATTAAGTTGCAGATAAAATCATCTAGAAAACTGATATAATTAGCACTAATTAACTTCATAAAAATTTGAAATTCAAGCAAACTTTATTAAAGTTTATTTGAATGTAAACAATTATTCTTGAATATGTTTTAACGTAAAATTATTGACAACTATGACATATTAATATGGAAATAAAGCGCAACAAATTAAAAAATATGATTAAGCAAGTATTACACAACGTGCGTAAACTTTACGTCAAGAAATACATATGTTAACTTGTATAAACATTTGTAATTTGCATGATTGTGTTGTAAGTATTTCTTATTAACACGTAAATATAAGAGACACGCAAAAATCTAAATACGCTGCAAAAATGCTCAGACAAAATTGCTTTTAAAAAATTTATAGCAACAATGAAAAAATATTCTTTCTTTAACAAAGTGATTAAAGTTTAGAGTGCGTAAAATAGATTTATTTATTTTAATGAAACACAAATGCACAATGACTAAAATTTGTCAGCCATTTTTTTAGCAATTTTTGATTTTCAAAATTTGTCTTCTCGATTGCTGACTGTAAGAAATTTAAACAAACTTAAAAGTACTTGTCAAAACGTTTAATTAAAATATTAGCTTTATTAGCATATGAAAAAAACAAGATTACCGTAAAGCTTGCAAATAAATTCACTAGCAAAATTGAGTTTTTTTGAAAGAAAATATGTCCACAAAGTGAAATTTGTAAGTTTAATAAAGTGGAAAATAAGAGTTAAGTAAGTAAGAGATAAGAAATTGTTGCAAATTAGCGCACTGATAATTAATTGAATTATGACTTCTTAATTGTTATGCTTCAAACATTGGTAACGTTGAATGACTATTTGAAGGATAAATTATGAACTAACCGAAGACCAGATGGAAAGAAATGAAAAAGCTGCATGAATTTTTGTTAGAACAATCCATGGCACAGCAATTATTAGCCATCTTAGCTTGAAAAATAACGAAGTTCAAGCTTTTCGCTTATTTTCATTGATTTTGCAGTATTTAATTTGAATTATCAATTATACGTGAGAGTTATGACTGCAGCTGTAATAACTTAAGCATATTCTTTTTCATCAACAATAGAGTAAACAGCGATCAAGTAAAAGCATTTCGAATGTGACTAAATAATCTTCACAAAAAATAATATATTCATAATAATCATAATGATAATAACAAATAGTAAAAATGATAATAATAACAATAACAAATAATAATGATGATAATGATAAAACGAGCAACAATAATGAAAATGTTGCTGCTTTGATAATCAAACAACTATAGAAACTAGTAGTCAAAATCTGTTAAATCTGTCTTATTTTTACCGAACTTTTATACTTTTTATAGCAGAAAGATTACAAGTTGCTCTGATCTCAGTACGTACAGCATGTTGTTTGATATCAGAGGTTATGAATGAATCACTGGAAAGAAATCTAAGTAGAAAAAACTATGCAAACAAAAATTCAAATTAGTCAAAAAACAAGTCATTGCACTCAAATTAGAAAGAGCAATACCAAAGAACTATTGCGTACTTCGTATTATAGAAGTTCAGCTGATATAATAAGCACTGCCTGCATGACTAAGTTAAACGGAAGTTGGTTTTTTCGATAATCTGAAATCTATAGGCTACGAAATTACTTACAGATTCCCAACTAAACTGAATGTTAAAAATTTATTTCAGTTGCAAATCATTACACCATTTCATGGTTTAAGCTTTTTCTGTAATAATATTTCTGTGATATCAGCAAAATCGTACAGACAGACATATTATTATTACATAGGAGCATATTCAAACGCATACTTAGCGAAGACTACATTAATAGATAATTAAGTTAGATAATCAGATTTATATATGCACATTTCCAACATCATAGTTGTGCAGTCTGAAATAGAAAATGAAGAAAGCTGAAGTAGGCATTGATGTCCGTAAAATCAATTCATTTCTGAGTTGAATACTAATTAGAATTTTTATGCGTTTTGCTTCGTCATCTTGAGAGGATATTCACGAAAAAGTTCGATAAATTGAACTTAGACTCATAGCACATCCTTGCTAGTCTCGACAACAACTATCAAATACAACTGAGTATATTTTGGCTAGCTGAAGATTACTTGCTGAGAATCACTCGCCTTCTTTAGTTTCAATTCTGTACTCAATCAGCCTTTTTCTTCTCCAACAAATGACACATTTCCTTTCTCAATAATAACTAATACAATGAAGAAAACTTCATCTACTATATCCGCTAATCCATTCTTATTCAGTATTATTTCCCATTTCTATCTATTAATGACATTATTATTCATTACTATTGTTACTTTGATCTACAGTTCCAACCAGGAGGAGAATTCCTCATCTCTCCACAATTATTCTCACCATTGCTAAAAATACATTGGAAATATTGCTCTAATAAATGTGAAGGACCCTAACTACACCAAAAAAAGTTTGCAGAGTCATGATTTATATTTAAAACAGAGATACATGAAGAATCTGGTAACGATTCACGCGATCTCTCACCTATTCATTCAAGCCAAAGAGATCATGAATAGCCTACATACCCATTTTAGAAGCAGTTAATTGAAACCTTCAAAATGAACTTGACTGATGTAACCCAAATGTCAAACTTGCTGCTTACCACTATGAAAGTATCCTAACCTTTCCTAATTACAATAGACACGAAGTCCACACCTTCTGAAAATAACCAAGATATTTAGCAATTCTCTCTTAATAAATATAAAAGCAACTAGTCGTCCCACTTACTAATTACAGAAACTGCATCATACAAACAAGTTTTAGTATTTCGAATTCCCCACCCTCAAAAAAAATGAACTAATTGCTTCCGTTATATTTCAGAAGTGAAAAACTCACAACATTTCTTACACGAAATCACAAGTTTGTCACCACTGTATTTTGGAAAAACTATTCCTTTTACATATTTGGCACTCACATCTGTTTAAAATGACTATGTAACACTACAAATTTCAGCAACACCAATGTTCATCTCACACTCGATATAACTTGATGCTAATAAGTATTTATGGGGCTTACCAAAAAAAGAAAAAAGCAAAACACAAATAGAGGAAAGGAGTATCTCAACTTTCCTCGTTGCAAAATAATGGTTATATGCACTTTGTCATATGCACTTAGTAAGAGCCATATGATTAGTCTAGATTGAAATTTCCGAAATCCCTTGCACAACAAATAGCAATGAAAACTAACATAAAATTTTAGAGCTAAATAAACCGAATTTGATTACTAAGAGTTTAGAATGACAAATTAAAACTAATCACAAAATAACAAAGTCACACATATGCACAACAGCATGTACCAGTAACTGGAAAAACAGCAAATAATGACAAGTATAAAGCACAAAGTAATACACGGAAATGTTATGGTACGAAAAACAAAAAATTATAATTGGTATGTTAGACACGGTTATATTTCTTCTCTAGTAAAGAAGGTGCTATACTTCTGGCCAATTCAAAAACATTTTCGTCTCTAAATTTGCCGTCTGAACGCGCAGTTTTCCAATCTTTGATACCTTGCAATAAGATCTGCTCCAAAGAAAGGCTATCCAAGTAGGCCATCTAAAGCTTGAAGAATTAGTAAGTTTCTATTCACAACAAATATCAAGTAATTACACTAAAAGTAGCTTTTCATTAAAAATCGTATACATCAAAACTAGCAACAAAACTAAATTTTTTGTTTTTTATTAACACTGATCATACCGTTCCACGTATATAAAACACCGCTCGATTTAGATGAACTGGATCTACGGGGCGCTGCATGTAAAGATTACGCCACAAAGCTCCAGCTAATGCTGGGTCGTCAGAAAGGAATCCCTAAAAATAACAAAACTCTTTGAATAAGAAGTCTCTCAATAACATGATTTTGAAACTACAATTGTTAACTTAACAAATAAAAAATTTGAATGATAAAATCTACTAACTTCATCATATTCAAAGAATGTTTGTATGTATAATCCAGCCATACGACGTTTGTCCTTTTGATGGTGCACTATTTCTTGCAGTTCTTCCTGAAATATACTCAAAAACACATTATGACAAAAAATGAGATTTCAAAATTCTTGTATAGAAAGTTAGTACCGAAAGAACTCTTAAACGCTTATCGATGTCATCAAACATAATTTCGAGAATACTATTCCTGATTCTAGCATAAGCTCCTGCTTCTAAGACAGACTGTAAACGAACAAGCAACATCCTGTAAACATTCAGAATTCGATATTCAAAAAAAGATAACACACTGAACGAATAGATTGAACTAATCAATCGGTCAATCAAGCAAATAAAACAATGCAAAAATTTACCAAATATGCATCAGAGTTAGTTTGTACCATGTCGAAAAATAATCTGGCAAGCAAAGGGCTGTAAAGAAGCAAATTAACAAAAATTCAGACAAAGAAAAATGACTATTCTTTTAAGAGTGAGTTAAAATGATAAGAAAAAGACGGCTTCAAATAATGATGCATTTATGGCATAAACATACCACTACATAACTTTAAATATGGGAAACGGTTGGCGCAATCAAAATAAAGGTGAGCAGCAGAAGAATCCAAACTCTGAAATATGAAGTAAAAAATTAACCCATAAATGTTTGATCAAAAGGGCATTAAATTCTTGATCAAAAGCTAAAAACTGTTTGTGCACATCAGAAAACAGTTACGACTTCATTACTAAATAACAAAACTAGATATAAAATTTACTGTCAACATTTCTTTCGTATAAGTCACTTGTTCATCTGGCTTCATTGATTTTGCTTTCCAAAGCTCTTTTCTTAAATTCCATTTATCACATAATTTTTTGAACAAATTTTCATGCTGGTTTTGTTCATCAAAGTGTTGCAACATTTCATCCAGCTTTTTAATGAGCAAATGCTTTCTAATATTTGCTTCTGCAAGGGTTTTAGGTTCGGAATTTTCCAAATCAACAAAATCCTCTAACTCCTCGTCCTAAAACACGAAAAACATGCATCAAAAACTGTCCTTTTTAATGCTTATTTTAGAATTAATATTCGGAATGGATAAGTTTGGTGCGCATAGGTGCGTTCCTACTACTATGTGTGATAACAGAGAAGGTGAGTCACTGAATTAATACTGATCGCTAATATATTACCATCAGTTAAGCCCATTCAGTGGTGAAAAATAACTAAAATAGAAGTCTTTTTATCACTCGATTCATTTAAAATAAATGTTACTTTACTACTTTTTAAATATAAAGCAGGAAAATAATTATGAAATTTGGAATCTATCTACCTAAAAGTGTAAAAAAAAAGTGCTACCAATAATTAACGAAAAATATGATCTTGCTTGTAATTATCTTTGTCAAATAAATACTTATAATCCACTAATTTTTAACAGATGGAGATCAGTCAAACTTAATTTGTTAAATAAAAATAACAAAAATGCAACTTTTTCTTTTGTTGGTATGGAAGATGATGGCTTAGATCGTATGTTATGAGATGACTGTTCCAATGGGTCATTCCAAACAATATTTTTCTTAACTTCAAAAATCGGTTTGCTGGAACATCGTCGAACAAACACCTAAAATACCTTCACTGCTTACAAATTTTTCAGCACTAAACACAATTAAGAAAACTAAATTTTGTTACAGCAAATTACAAAACTCAGATGTCTTCAAAGAGGAGATTTGGAAGAAAAACTTATATCAATAAATAGTGACTGTGATGGTACATACTGCTCCCTCAAACATGACACATAATTAATCAGAATGAATAACTTCTGAATGAAATAACTAATTAAATATACAAGTAGAAAATGATAATTCTGAAATGATACAACACGTAATAAAATACGAAATAAACCACATTACCTTAGTTGAATACCATAAATTCTGTGTTGCACACAATGCAATGGCTGCTGGAATATATGACTGACTGCAGACCGCAACAGAAGAGATACATTTTCGAAGTAAATTTGTCTTTCGGATCATAATGGAAGTAACAATCGTTCTGATTCCAAATTAAAAAGTAAAAAAATGACTCTTCTTCAACAATCACTGTAAGCTGCTTCTATTTATTGCTCATGTCTTTTCGCGAAATTTTTCAATCTCTAACACTACAATGTCTACAATTCTCATTGTGTATAAATCTCTCTACATACAATGTTCTTTTCTGCTCTATTATTCTTTGCACTTCAAATTTTCCAAAGTGATTTTCTAAAAAATAAAAAAATGATTCTACTTCATCAATTACTGTAAGCCGCTTCTGTACTGTTTTTCCATGTCAATTCTGAGGCTTCTAAAAGTTGCACTGTTCCATCAGGTGATCTTTATCAGCTTCATTTTCCTACACACCTTTTCTTACCATAAGATTTTTAATAAAAACCCATAATGGTTCAGAAACTGAGGTTTCAGTAATTTAGGAGTAGTATAGACAGTATGAAGTCTTTTTTACTGATGTCGCAGATAAATTCTTAAATTAAACACATTGTTATCACTGGATGCCAATCATAAATACTTGCAATCAATGCAGTTATTGATCGTCGACTGATAATTATGCGTAAATATGGAAGTGCTAAAATATATATAAAAATAGTAATCCAAAACAGATGTACTTCTAGCCTGACGTGAAGTTTGTGTAGGGAATATCAGTCGTTCATCTCGAGATGCAATAACGCATGCTGTGAAAATTTCAACTTGCAGTTTTACATCTTTCTTCGAAATAAAACATTTTTGTATATAGAAATATTTAAAAATTTCTAAAATTTGATCTTAGCGAAAAATCAGACATGCCATGACATCTGACAATTACGTAGTCAAAATAATAACACGTTTGCGAACTCAACAAATATATGACGTATATGACGTGTACTTACCACATGATTTCGTTCCAAAGCGTCATAAGACTTTCTGTGCTGTTCTTTTAGATTTTTCAGCAGAATGCTATTGAAGAAATTGCTATCTTCCGAAAGTGTCTTGCAGAAAGATTGCTTGCATTGTTCTTTCGTTTTCTGTTACTTCAAGGAAAGCTTCCAAGTAGAAAGAAAGACTTCTGTTCTTCCTTGCTTTTGGCAATGATTTATGGGTACTGAGAGATTGCGTCGCATAGTTTTAAATTCTGAAAATATCTAGGCAATAGAATTTGAAATCAAATTTAACTAATTGGTATGAGAAAATGCTGAAAATAAACTACATCTCGTGTTTACTTCTTCTACGTCTGATCACGTTGCATCGGTTGTTTGTTAAGTTGGCTGAGATTGCTCCATTCGATTGACTAGTATAATGATCAGTCGCTCTCAGCTCGAACTCTTATGGATTACTTGTATCGAAATTCGATATTTTGAATAATTTATACTTATGTGTTAATCATTTGTTATCTATACCACAGAATATTAGTTGTATTAGAGAATGTATGTTGGATATTATAATAAACTAGACCAAAAATCCAGATAATTTCACGACAAATCTGATACATTTGTGAAAGCCTCAAAACTTTGAAGCCATAAAAATCGAAATCGATTTTGATAATTTTGAAATTCAAAATCAAATAGATCGAAATGGAGTTTGAAGTTGAGAAATTAAAATTTGCAATGTCTATATTCAAATTCAGTAGCAAATGTCATTGGGAATTATCTGTGCATTCATTTAATCATTTCAAGAACATACAACATGAGCAGGAACTAGCTCAGCAAGTAAATGTTACAAAATTTGGTCACAGAAAATGAAATCAATTAGGATGCTTTTCGTCTGTATCATTGAAAATCTCGGAAAATCTCCCACGAAATATGTTCAAAAAAATTGAAACGTTGTAAATTTCATGAAGAAACTATTTGAAACATTTCAGAGAGTGGAAGTAGTCTGACATTACTCGCTAAGTTGGCTCTTCTGAAATGTTTCCGAAATACTGAAAATTAAAATTTGCATACAAAGTGGCACAGGTAATTGCCCAGAAATCGAAAGGTTGTAGGGTAAGCAGTTCTCAGACGAAACGGAAAAAAAATAACGGCAGTTATTTCTTAGGGAGTATCTCACGCTATGCTTTCATATTAACGCACTTATTGTCCGACATTTGAAATATGAAATATAATCAGTTTTGATATAAATTTTGGAAACAGTAAAGTTAAAACGCTTTTGTTTAATTTCATATTCATTCCTTACGACATAGACAGCTTCTTATTTGTTGCTTAGAAGGTTTTATAAACGAAGAAATGTAAAGATAACGTGTTTTCGAGTAGCACATCTATAGTACGCATAGTACTTTGACTTATAAAATGTATACTTTTCTGTTGAATTATTTCACTTAGGTTTGGGTAATTTTTCAAGGATAAACGTATTTTTAGTGTGATCGAAACTAAGTCTATATTTATTAAGTACCGTGTTTGGTGCTAAACAATTTTAGCACTTTTGTATAATTATGCATACACGTTATTATTTCACTTTACCAGATTGTTTCTTTTTGCTCCAACTTATCCACTACTTCTAACCGCTAGTTTTTGTTTCAAAAAAGGTATGCAACTGATTACTTACTTTCCACCGCGATTAATTACCTCTGTAGTCAGCAATAACTGCTAATGTTTGCACTGGCGTTATTACTAGGAAGATGACTGTGATGAAAAATGTGCTCTCAGTTCAGTGATTGCTTTCTGTTAATATATAAGCATTTTTAGTAATGAACACAAGAAAACGTCACCTAGTCATCCACATAATCCGTAAAAAGTAAACTTAATTGCAACTGCTAAAATCTATCCAAAATTTTACCTATCTGTAACATTTCAAAAAAAGGCAAATAGTATATGCTTTGCTATTCCTCGCTTGATGGCTAATTCCAAATAATTGCAGTCTTTGCTATCACTCCTGCTAAGGTAATTTGCATTATCATCATAATGCACTAATAATAATAATTCAGCAAACTTTTGCATAAATCCATGACCAGCAAATATTTAATTATGATTTAGCGGTCCTATATAAATTAGAATGAAGATTAATTTTTTATATTTATATTACATTTGTTAAAAAAATGCTTTATAAAATAAAGTCACTTAAAAATACTATGATTGATCTACATCCAATCATTGCAAATTCATAATATCATTCACAAATATTTGGTTTGAAAGATGATCAGACAGTAGTATCTAGATCATAAAGAGTATCATCACTGATTACTGTTTCTTCTAAGCCTTGAATTCTCCGGAGAACATAATCGTAAGTATTGCAGAAATCAACTGACTCGTGGTGTTCAACTTCATCGCATAATCTTGCATGTTGAGGCCATCCCTTCTTGAGTGTTTTCAGTGACCGACTACACTTCCTTTTTTGCTTGCCACTGAAAGCAAGTAAAATCTAATTGTAATAAACTTCAATTTTAAACTTTTTTTCCAAAAAACATACGTAACTCATATAATACGTCAAATAATACAACGCATGTGTCATGAAATTTATATAAATTCGTTTTTATATTATATAAAAAGTAATTTGTAAAATAACCAGTGAACTCTTAACTTAAATTCACAATTTGGAAAATATATAATAAATAAAGAGTCTCTAATTTCTAAATATAAGTAAAGCTTTTGTATGATTTGTACCTAAAATTTTATCAGTCACTAACAGTCCAACTTCACTTCAATTAACTTTGCAGTCTTCGAAGTTTTTTAAATAGTAATATGCTAAAATTTTAACAGCATATCATTGGTAAATAATGGAATTTAAGAGATTTATTCTTCCCAAAGTATCGAACAATAGATTTTAAACGTGTACAGTATAAGTGTTTATAGCTTCAGTGCAGTTAATTGTTCAATTTCTCGGTTTACTTATCCATGAAAAATATTGAAAGTGAAACTGTCAATTATTTTCAATGACTGCCAATATTTTTCCCGCCAGTCTATCCATAAAATGTGTTTGGGATTTGCAAAACGCAACTTATGAAAAGTATAAAACGACAGAGATGTGTAGAAAGAGCTAAAAACTTACGATGAAAATGTGCTGTAAACGAAGCAAACTGGACAACGCATAATAAAATCTTTTGGTCGAAGCAAAACATTATTGCCAATCAAATCTGTTACATTCATTGTTGGCGCCTACAGAAATTAGTTCTTGTTAAATTTTTCAAATATTTTTTTAGTGTATGTCAGTAATTTTAAATATGTTACAACTCAATATTAACCGAAAAAGAAATATTCTTTCCAGCTAATATTGAATCCTTAGCTAGCATTACCAGCATCTATTGGTAGTTCTAGCTAAGCCAGCATTCAATATATAAAATTCTTCCATTAGATAAAAAAATCTCTAATCTCATAATATAAGGAAAGCTTTAGTATGACTTATATCCAAAATTTTACTGATCACTTACAGCTTAACTGGTATCACTTTGCTTATACTTGTGATCGTTTCACCTATACAGGTTCTTTCTAGCTAGTATTGAATCCTTAGAACTTGAATGTTGGAGATGAAATATGATCTGTAAATAACGTACAAGAATCTCACTTTGCTTGGATATACCCAGACGCCCAACAGGAACTTGGTTAAGGCCTCTACAAGGAGTGTAATGAATTTTCATCTTTTTGTTAGTAGCTAGCATCTTCTGAACATTTTTCCACCCAGTTACTAGTTCATCTGTATAAGCTATATCGCAGGGAAGCTAAAACTCTTGAATTATTACAAATATGCGCTAAATTTTGAATAAAAATAATATTGCATATTTTAAAAAACTGCTTTGAATAAACAATTAAAGTATTTTATTTTGAACACGAAGAAATTGAATTTAAAAAAGTTTTTCTAATTTGTAAACAAACCACGTCAAATTTCGAAACACAATTATGAGTTCCTATACGCCGGCGATGATATCTTATCATAAGTGCCGTTAAATCGTCTCCATGCCCACATTGTGTATAAAATAGAATTCAACTTTATCATGTTAAAATTAGTCCAAAAATTTTTAAATACATACTACAAAAAATAGAAATTTACTCAATAAATAAAACGTTGAAATTAGAAAATATATTTTGTTTGTTAAATTTTCAGAAAACCATTTATTTTATGACTTCTAATTAATCAAGGTCAAAAGTATGTCCCAACATTTACATTACATGCTTATACTTGTAGTTGCATTCATGGATTCATATTAAATATTGCAATAATTTGTTAATATGTTGTTATTTCAAATGAGATAATAATTAATAAATTCTTTACAAAGTCGTAAGCAGTCGCTGGATAATACTTGCATGACAAATAACTAGAAAATTTCGAGTACTCATCTAATACGCGATTTTCGCGTTTTATGCGCTCTTCATCATCCTGTTAGACGGTAGAAATTATGAATTACAATTGGAATTCGTTTGATGCATTCATCAAAAGATATGACAGTCTATGTATTCCAAGCACGTGAAACAACAGAATTCCTTTTAAAAAAAATAGTGGTTTTTCTGTTGTTTTGACTTTTAATATATTTGAGAATCTTTTTATTGATAAATGAAGTACACAAGTTATAAAAAAAGAAATTTACGTACGCTCAAATGACTGTTTGCTCGATTAAGTTTGTGAACAGCTAAGCAGAGTATTACAAAAACTACAAATTGTACAATTAGTAGTATCACACATGGTGTTTTGCGTAGAATAAATCTTAAAAAACGCTCAACGTTACCACGCGTGCGCTGAAATTTATTACTTTTAACTTCCAAGTTAAGCATTATTGATGTCAAACCACGAAGTAGTTCATATTTAATAGCACAATATTAACTCACTTCATAATGTAAAATTTGTCTTGCAAAAAATTAAGTTTGTAATTCCTTTCAAATATTTTACGTAAAAATACCTAATATAAATTTTTCAAAAACCAAAAAGAAAAATTTAATAACAGCAATATTTTCATTATTAGCTAGCAATCTTTTCACGTCTAAATTTTTTACATTTTATTTGTGAGAAAGTTCAAAGTTTCTCAAAAATTTTCTATTAAAATTAATTTATTTAGTGGATTACAGAAAATTAAAATACATTACATTACTAAAATCCTCAACATTTAACGTTAAGCTTCCGTTTATTTTAATCACTAGGACATTTATCATTTATATTACTACATTTCATTAATAAAAAGTAATAAAAAAAGTCACCGTTAGGTAACAAAAAGTAGAAAATAGTAATGCATCATAATCAGAATTTAAAAATATACAGTACTACCGCTGCTCCTTTTCATCTAAAACAACCGCTTCCAAATCACAGTTATATGATTATAAGACATCTGACAAAGTCATACGTATTTATGGATAGCAAGAATAAAAAAGAATATTAATTATTTATTATCGAAAACGTATAATTTTGTATACTTAAAAAGTAAGAATAAGTAAATATAAATAAATTAAACAAGTAAATAAATATATAAATGAATAAAAAAAGTAAGTAAACAAGTAACACAAGAACACAAGAAAGCAAATAAAAATTAAAAAAATAAGCGTATTAATAAATGTGAATTTAGAAATAGCAAAAAATGTGAATCTTTGAGGCCATTGTAGTGCTCTCTAACTTTTTATTCCACCAAATTAATTTTAATTCACTGAATCTGTCACACTAATTTCGCAAGGCAAGCAAGATTCTGAAGCAAAATGATTAAATATGTGTCTGGAGGATATGTAGTGAGAAATGTGTGCCTCAATTGTATGCCGCTTTGGGGGTTTTCTTAGTGTGAGACAGTCAGTCAGCCATAAATCACATTTTATCTCAGACCAAACATAAATTCGTTTGCAGTCAGTAAATGACACTGCGAAGAGTGAAACAACCTTCTTAGCATCCGTTAAGACTACATCTTTACCTTAAAGACTTGAAATGAATAATGTAGAATAGAAATAATCTTACAACAACTAAAAGTATTTGAAGTATTGACTCGCAAGTCAAATATGCATATATCTATCTGACTTGCGAAGAATGAATTTTGTTCAGAAAATATTTATGTATGAGTCGAGAAGGTACATTATTTGTTGGAATAAGTAGAATTAATATTGTTGTTAAGCAAAAGATTTTATGAGCTTCGTTGCTTGAAAAAATAGTAATTGGCGTGAAAACCTAGAAAAAGTAAATGTATGTCAAAGTCTACTAAAACTCAGAATAAAGTTTTATTTTAGCATCGGTTTTTCTACTTAAGAGGGGTGCAATAACAATGAAATTAAAATCCTCTTATTTAATAATGATTAAATATACGCTATTATTGACGCTATAAGTGTTCTAATAACCTTTACATTTTTTAAATAATACTGATTATTTAAAATATTTATTAATTAAATAGTGCATTAATAATAATTATGATTCAGAGGAGATTCACTGGTTACTATCAACAAAATTTTGGTAGCTGCGCGAGTTCTGACTACAGTTGTGAAGAAGAGAAATGGAAGAAAACTTGAAAAATAAAACAAATTATACTCAAAGCCTATAAAATGCTCAATTTTTATAAAATAAAAAATCTGGAATTAAAAAAAATTTTATAAAATTTGGAGTGTAATTTGGAAAGCAATGTACAAAATGAAATGTTCACACATTTCGTTATTTGTTAAAAATCTGTTCACACAGGTAGCACAGAATGGATGGAAGAACTCATGAAACCACTGCAACAACGAGCAGTTGCCGTGATAA